GTGCTGTCATCACAGTATTTAAGAACTATCATTCCGGCACAGCTTTCAGATGGAGCCAGCATCGAGAGCGAAGTGTTTTTTTTTGAGTCATCGGTGGCAGCAGGCATCGTGATTTGATATTGGATCTACTTGGGGGACTTTTTTTTTATTTTTAATAAAGGATTTGTCAAAGCCTGTCTCCTTAATACAAAGTGCAGCTTTAAGATAAAAAAGCAAAAGTCCAATGGAGAAATCAGAGAAAGATATCATTGCAGGGTAACAGGACACAATCTGTGATGAAAGGTATAACGTGCATAGATATCCAAGTGCGGATGGCGTACACTCCCCTTCACCAAACAAAATTACAGCCGCTCACCTCCGGGGTATGACCTCTGAATTAAAAGAAATGTCAGACATTACATTTCCCCACTGGGGCATATATACTGAAGACTCCAATCAGTCTTGAACGATACATATTCCAATCGATCCAAACCCCATATGGAAAGAGGAAAAGGCAAAAGAATAGTGCTCTCAGTATGATAAACTTTTATAAAAATAATAAAAACACACTAACAAAGAAGGCACTTTTACCCAAAGTGCATAACCAAGCGCTCAGAATCACAAAGCATAGATGCAAGATAGCCGCAGGTGACGTCACAGGTGTGGCTCCTCCTCCCGTACACGTCATGTCCTAGGGCCGGACTTCGGCAGCCATGCAATCACCCACATTGCTTATGAAGCATCACCGCTGTTATAGCGACAGGGACACACTCAAGAAAGGGAAAATAAAGCTGGGCAAGCATGGGGCCCGTATACCACACACAGAAAATTCCCTTGCCGCCACAGCTGCATATAATCATTAATATAAATTCTGGTGTATTTGAATAGCAACCTATCCAGTGTCTCCTACAAGCTACTAGCTGCCTGTCACAGATTGCATAAAAAATTATATAAAAAAATTAACTAACAATCCAAAATAAAACAATTAAAATCAAATTCAACATTAAATCAAGTAGATGTCATAACCTTAGTGACATCTGAGACCAAATATAATTACCCTTCCCCAATGTTGACTCACTTTCTCAATAGCCCAAAATTTTAAACCTTTGGGTCACGATTGTGACACAATCTAAAGTGCTTAGATACACTATTGGTTTTCACCCCCTTTTTAATATTGGTAACATGCTCCCTCAATGTAACCTGAAGGGGTCTACAAGTCCTGCCCACATATTGGAGGCCGATACCTGGCTCTGTATTCTCTAAAAAAGGGGTGGGGTGCTGCTTGGAGGTGGGTGGAACCTTAGAAAGATGTACCTGTACATATCAGTGTATGTTTTGGGGGTGTGAGCTCTAAAGGAATGGGTAATTTTGTGAAAATTGATGGCAAGATGAATGCAGCATGTTATCAGAAAACACTGACAGACAATTTGCATTCTTCTGCATGAAAGCTGTGCATGGGACACTATTGAACTTTCCAGCAGGACAATAACCCTAAGCACAAGGCCAAGTTGACTCTTCAGTAGTTACAGCAGAAAAAGATGAAGGTCCTGGAGTGGCCATCACAGTCTCTTGATCTTAATATATCTGAACCACTCTGAGGAGATCTCAAATATGCGATTCATGTAAGAAGAGCAAAAACGTTGCATGACCTGGAGGTATTTTTCCAAGACAAATGGACAGCTATACCACCTACAATAAATATTATACAATAGATAGATAGATAGATAGAGATAGAGATAGACAGACACAGAGTATATTTACAATATCAACTGTACAAAATGGTTGTTAAATGATTCTTTATTCATTTATTGTATTGTTTTGGTTCTGATAAAGAGGGCCCACGTTAACTTCCAAAACAAGTTGGCTAAAGCTAAGCACATGGCTAAACTCAGATGATCTTGAATTTCAGATGAAGTGAAATTTTAACCAAATTTCATGGATTTGGATGGCAAACTCCAAATCTAAATTTATTATTTATTATTATTGGTGAGTCGAACTTCCAAAAGGCTTCTAGGAGAAAGGAATAAAAAACTGCTTCAACTGCTGTTTCTGTTCTATATTTGCTTTTGTTATTTCCTGAGAACCTTTAGCTTGACTGACAGTGCCACCAGGTTTCACATTTTCATCTTAATATTCCTGGTAAAAATGTTAAGGGAAGCGACTCAGGTAGGTCTTCTTGGAGCTTCCCAACCATTCTGCACAATTCTGTATCATCCTCTACTCTACAATGCAAACATTCTAAGAAATTCCAAGGTTCTGAGGTTAGTAAATGTTTTGATATTTTGGCCAAACCACTGCTGATTGAACTTTTCAGGAGTTGCTCATCTCTAATTATACATTTTTGGACTCTGTGGCATTCTCATCTCCTTTAATAAAGATTATTTCCTAGGGACCTAAGGTTACAGTACTCCAGCTGCCTATGAACTATACCAGTGTCAAGTTTGGGGATTTTTTTCTCTACTAACCACCAATGTATTGAGGTAGGTAGGTATGTTAAAATGCCCATTTTAGTCCTTCTTCACAATTCTTCCTACCAACCTGAAGTAATTCTGGTAAATAGTAATTGTAAAGAATGTGAAATGTATTATTGATGCAGAAACTAACAACCTTATGCCTCAAAGAAAAAAAAAAATTCCCCAAAATTTACAAAACACATTCATAGAACTCATAGATGTTTATTACAATGTTCTAACAAATTTTATATATGTTCAAGGTAGTTCTTTTAAAGGTATCCTGTGGAGATAGAAATATGGGACCATACATTATTGGCCTGATTTTTCTGCTATAATGCTAGATATCTAATCTTGATACAACCATTTTCAGCTTGAACTGCAGAGCAGCCACGGATAGAATTCACAGAGAGACTGCCTAACAGAGAAACTAAATAAGAAGCCAACAGATCATGTAGCTCAGTGTCCTATTATTCTTCTAGAGGAACTGGGCAACGTCTTAAATTCAGACGTGCAGCACACTGAGTGGATTCTGAATTGTTGAGAAGTTCACCCCTTTCCTATTAGGGGCTCTATAGTGGAATCCCATCATGACAATCAAAACCCATGCAGTGTGAGATGACTGCAAGTCAGGCCCTTTTGAGATGGATGAAACCTAAGACAAGACCATACACTACTATTCATTAAATGGTTTTTTTACAATACTACACCCAGATGGCACTTGTTTTTTTTTCCTCCTTTGAAACAGTTACTTTTGAAACTTTGTAGTACCAACGAGTTAAAGTTGATTACTGATTACGTGTTAGCAGTACGTTAGGGATTAATTCAATTTAAATTGTAAGCTGTTTGTTGCAAGATAGAAGTTCTCACATACTGTACCTCTGTAGGAAATCATCTTGCATAACTAATAGTGGGGAACATTGAGTGAGGGGAGTACTGGTACCATGAGATAAGAAGAGAGTTTTATTATCATGACATAGAACAAGTGAAAACAAGTTATGGTCATCTGTCTTAGTTCAAAGTATAGGTTATGTTCTTTTGCCTTCATTCAGGACTGGGATGCTCTCTTGCACATCCTTGGGCCCCTGGCCAGGGTTCAGTTTGTGCAATAGGGCCATCATACTTGGTAACCACCATCAACATTTTTAATAAACTTAAATCAGGCTGTTGCAAGGTAAAAAAGGTGGGTATTCCCTCAATCAGATTGGAGCCTTACCTGCGACTGGATGCACTGTGCAGGACTCATTTGTTCCTGATTGAGATTCAGGCCTGGCTCTAATGGGGCTCCCCAGATGAAGTATGGGCCTGGATGTTGTTTGCAACTCTTTCAGGGATGTAATGTTTTCTAACTTATGTATTGCCCTACTAAGTATATGCATAATTACTTTATTAATAATATGTAGCACTGTTTCATTGACTGTATGATGAGGTTGACTGTTAATTGACTGTTAGTTGATTCCTGAGTTACTTTGTTTCAAGTTCTGTTGATTAGGCAATACAGATTTTTAAAATGTAGATCTAAATAGTTATCAAAATAAAAAAAACACTAACAATTTGATGTAATTCAACCACATTTTATTGAATATTTGTTTAAGAAACAGAGGTATACAGGCACACCCAATAGCTTTTTTTAAATTTCTTTAAATAGAAACTAATATTCTAAAACAAATCTTTAGAAATGTGAAAGAAACATTTTCTGTAAACTTTTCTTAAAGGAATGTAGTAGGAAAAAAGTTAACAACCACAAACTCTGGTGTTCACCAACATTTAATTTAAAAAATAAACTAGCTAGTGGTGCTTAGATTAAAAATCCTACCAACCTTATTCAGAAAGGCAGCAAAGATTACGTTTGAAACTGTTGACAAAAAAAGCGCTTTGTCTTTCACACTCTAAACCCAAATTTAATTTAAATTAGTTTCAGTTTAAAGAAAAAAGACACAGGAATGTAAAGTAATCACTTCTTCCCTAGCATCCTTAGTTGCATTGCAACAACTGAGATAAAATTTAAAAACAAAAAAAAATAAAAATAAGCAAATGACTCTATCATTTTCTGCATAAAATCAGAGTTACAAAAATTGGCATAATTTACAAACAAACCCATTTGAGTTAGTACCAGAAATAAGCACTGAAGGTCTTGGTTTTAAAAAAAAAATATGAAAGCACCACATGATGTAAAATGTTTTAAACACAGAATCCCTGAAAAAAAAATTTGTTTGAACTGCAAGAATACAGAGATTCAAGATTTATGTAAGAAATGGTGGCCATTCATGAAGTGGTATAGCTTTGTCTACGTTTTTATTTCCAAACGTTTGTATATAGCACAAGATCACAACCTATTGTAGGTAATTGTGGAGGGTGGTATATTAGGAACTATTCATTATCTTTTATACATTCAGGGTTTTTTTGGTTCATGCTCAAAAATGCTCCACCCATAGAAAGAATTTTATACAAATATATTTGTGCAAGATGGCAGACAATCCAAATGATCCTTATTCCAATGTAGCATACTCCTTGACAAGTTCACACACTGGTCTTCTAGAATTCTGATAGCAGTAATCGGTTCTCATGAATTTATGACTTGTGACTTCTCCTTTGCTTTCTTCTCACTGTTGGTCCTGTTAAAGATTAGTAAATAGGATCAGTTCACAGTAAAAAAATATACGACCACAGTCATACACAGGAACCCATCACCAGTGTTAGAACCTGTTCAAACAGTTTTTAGTTTACAGACATTTGGGTTCTATTTTACTAAAGTGGGAAATAAGGTGAAATACAGTTTAATGAGTCTATTCTCATTCTAGACATCCAGTAATTTGGAAAAGAAGCTCTATTTGTTAATGACTGGCTACTTGTGATTACACCATTTCACTGATATTCACTAACCTTTATAGCTACAGGCACTATGGAGTAATTATTCCTAAAAAAATTACAACAGTGAGACATTAGGTTGCAGCTGGTTTCTGAACTGCTCACAGCACTTGCTAATTGTTTGCATTCGAAAGTAGACAGGCTGCCAAGTCCCTGCTTGCAGAGGTAACAAAGGGGCTGAGCTGAGAATTCATTGTTTTTGTTATGAACTTTGAGGATTCATTTATTCCAGTGTGTGTAGCTATATAGATCAGTGAAGGCTTGATTTAAATCTCTCCTACTGCTATGAAGTATAACTAAATATTTGAATGCCCATAGCCTGGTCATATGGTCACATTAATGATTGGACAGTTCAGTCTTTAGGTCTGCCCTTATAGGGGTGTGCTGGCTTTGTCAGCTGTTGCTGTCTGTCGCCAGACCCCTGTTTATCACTATGATGAATAAGGCTGCCCTTAGGATCCAGTGTATAATAGGGAAAGATCTGACAATCTGCATACACAAATAGCTACTGATTAACACCTGCCCACGCATGTTGAAATATAAATGACTTATCCTTTGAAAAAGCTGCTTTTAATTGGTTTCTCAAATTTGAAAAGGTTGACTATTCATAAGGCGATCAGATAAAACAATATATAAATACACATTACAGACAAAAAAAAGACTGGCATGCTGTTAGGGCAAAAGCATAGCATTAGTGAAGCTCTACCTTATACTGCAAGGCCATGTGAGTGCAAATTAGCCTAAAACACAAAAGTAAGAGTTCAGTGATTGGATTTTCCAGTATCAGTGTAGGAGCACCTCTAGCTCTGAGTCATACACAATTATTCTTACAAGATGGTTCTTAGTTAAATACATTTAAGCACAGCCAATGTTATGAAAGAGGTCAGTGATGTATGTAATTTTAATACAGTTAATAATTAGCTCTTATCTCCACCATAGTAAGAAATACAAATGTTCCAATTTCTTTGATATGCATTCTTTCGTCTGTATCATGTATCATTAATGAAAGGAGAAGTACAGTCAAAGCTTGGTCCAGGCTGGGGAAAGATCGAGACCATATGGTCAGGATCCATCGAGAAGAAGCGAGCTGCTGAGAGACTGAGCCAGTCGCTCCCACCACCTCCACAGCCGGGGGGGGACGACGCAGAGCAGAGAGCTGTGACTGGCATGCTCTCTGCTCAAATCGGTGAGGAGAACTGAGTGATCAGTGGTGTTTGCTTGCTCAGTTCTTACCCTTAGAGCCGACGGGGACATATGCAGCATTGAATTGATGCTGCATCCACCTAGGTAAGTATGATTTTTAAAAAAACAAAAAATATTTCTCTTTTAAAGATACATACAACTGTCTGTTTTTGTCAAGAGGGTAACGTTGTGATTTTTACATCGTATTTTTGGTTGCTTATGAGCATGAACATTTTTCTTTTAAACTTTTTTTTAATAAATTCACTCATACACTCAGTGATGGAAAAAGGTTTTTTTGGGCAAAATAAATGAATCTTATTTATATGATTATATATTGCATGCATCTTACAATGTGTAAATCTCACTTCTAACTGAAACCTTAAACATATGGTTTGATATTTTGAAAAGAACTGAAACAAGCCTGAAACAAGATGCAAATGCAAATAAATCATTATGTAAGCCACAAGCTGTACTGTATACCAGTAGTTCTTATTGCATAAGTAATAGCCTTAAGGTATCATTTGCAATGCTTTGCAATTTAGACAGAAATGAGGACTAAAGCTCTTGCTTATATGAAATACATTCTACATGTATCTTTTGATTAGTTTCAGAAGCTAATTTGAAAATGTGACAATTATACGTTAAAGGCAAATTGTTTTATATTTGATAATAATAAATCCAAAGAAAATAGGAAATACAAACTCCAAATCCCAAATGCTCAAGTCAAAAGCCAAAAGCAAAGTACTCTTTCTGCAATATATAACTTCATGTATAGAAAACCAACAGTATAAAATGATCGTATTCAAAACATGTTGCATATACAGTACCTTAACTAATACTAACCAATTGTAAATTAACTTTCAATAACCCAACTAAGTAGATGGAATAGATGGAAGGCAATATTTCACTGCTTAATATTACAGCATATTATAGCTTTTTAAACACTGTTAATGGATGAAACTTACATTGGTTTCCAAGTAATGTAAAAACAGTGTAATTGGTGTAAAATATATATTTCATAATATATATTTGTTATATTTAATTAGTGTAAAAATATATTTAATATCCACTTTGCACACACTTACAATTTATTTGTTTGTAGTTAATTTGACATAAGTACTGTTTAGCCACCCAAGTCACTATCCTCAGAAGTGAAATATTACAGAACCGAAGAACATACAATTATACGGATTAAACAACTTTCAAGGTTTCAGGAACTGATGACTAATAGGAATGACTTTATTCATCAAGTCATTTAAATATTCCATTGTATCTTTCCAAGTAGGCAGTATTTCAAAATGAATGTTATTTTCCTTTTCTTTTCTCTATATATCTTTTTTCTGCTAAGAAAAGTGAGTCTCACATCATTATTCCTAATAGTTGCCTTCTGTTATCTTACTTTGCTACGTCCTGAACTATTAAATGGGATATCCATTATTTTCTTTGCACACCTCTTAAAGACACACAGTCAACAAAAAAGCTGTATGCAGCTGCTGTTTGAGTATTTAATTTAAAGATACTTTTTACCTTGCAGGGATACATTGAAACATAAGATCAGTAGTGCATGTGACCTCAATTTTGTAGGGTCATGGAATTGAGTCCTCCAATATCTATTTAACTCAGTACACAGAGAGAGGGTAGCAGTTACAATTTTTGGTTCAATGTTGGATAGATTTGTGCACCTTCTCCACAATCATATCACTATTGTTCCATAGTGTACAGTGTCACCTCATGGTAAAACATGTATTTCCAAGGCAGTTAATGAATGTGCGAAGCTGAGTCTTGGAACAGTCCCAAGTCCTTAGCATTATCTATGCCACACAATATCAGTGGCTGCTAAGTTAATCATTTAGAAGATATCCTCATTGGTGCACAATGTGGCCTATTACTAGCAGTCCAAAAATGTTTAGCAGATACTAATAATGTAACAAGCATGTTTGCCTATAGTAGCTCAAATTCCAAGATCAGTCAAGATCTTGTCATGTTTGGTCAAGATCAGTCAAGACTTTTTATCCTGGTGCAACACACCGGATTGGTAGTTATCTTAGAGGTTGGTTTAATAAAGGCAAATAGACTGTACATGTTGCAAGTGCAGTTGCACTCTGCAAGGGTATTTGCTCCAGAAATTAGCATATGAGGTGAAGTTTCACTTTGCAAAAAATACCCAATCACATGCAAAGAAAATTAAAAAAAAAAGTTTTTGCTTGCACATGATTGGATGATGGAAGTCAACAGAGCTTTCCCTCATTTACTAAGCTCTGGAATAATCGCCTTGCAATGAAGCTCTGTTGGCTTACATCATTCAATCATGCGCAAGCAAAAACACAGTATTTTTTCTTGCATGTGATTGGGCATTCTTCGCAAAGCTTCATCTTGTTTGCTAAGCTCTGTAGCAAATGTCTTTGCAAAGTGCACAGTCTAGTTGCCTTCAGTAAATCAGCCTCTCAGTTTACACCATCATTTCTAATCCTGGCTTATGCTTTAGGAACAATAGCAGTTCCTAACAGCTTTGGAAGGTATCTCTTCTGGGACACGGGGTTTATTTATTAAAGGTAAACAGACTGTTCACTTTGCAAGTGCAGTTTACCCCAAGGTAAGAAAAAAGGTGATTCTCTGCTGACTTCAATTTCCCAGTCATGTGCACGCAAAAATATTTTTTTACTTTTCCTGCACATCATTGGGTATTCTTTGCAAAGTGAATTTTCACCCCAATCACTAACCATAGGTAAACTTCCTTTGCAAAGTGAACAGACATTTTGCCATATAGTAAATCAATGCCAATGTGTCTAGTGTACCTTATGACGCATAAAATCCCACCTTGCATTGGCAGTTCAATGATGTGTGGAACTATTCTTCACATAGTGAGTACAGTCTGCTTGCATTGCTACAGCTCAGCTATCCCTCCATGATTTTGTTCTAAATAATATTTAAGCATGTATTACCCCTGAGCAAATCTTCCCTTATTTTATGCTATATCAGTTCTCTCATGAAACATTTTAAAACATGTTTTAGCTTGATTTCTGAAAGGCTTGTAGGCAATAGTATACTTTATTTACGATGATTAAATATCTTTGAATCGCATAAAACTATGAGTCTGTCCTCCGTATCAGTGTTAATATGACTGATTAGAGCTTTGCAGATTAATCTATGCTAAATGATAATATTAACAATCATGTAAAATGCTCAGGATTAGGAAAGAAGCAGTGCCTAGCTTCAGCCAGCTCTTTACTATAAACATACCAAAAAGCTTCATAAGTTTCCTAAAACATTTATTATCCTAAAAATAATTAAAACATCTTATTCTACCTGCATATACTTGATCAATTTTGTATTGGCGATACACTTATAGTTGAAATCCCTCATTATTACAACTCTGAATATTGAAATATTTTTTTTTAAATAGAGTGGCGGTTTAAATTAAAAATGTTTACACAACTGATACGGAAATTACAGTTTTGAATTGTGAAAGAGAGAGACTTGGTTCTCACAGTTCATGGTATAATATGTGAGTTAATATTTGAGTGGCTCTTTGTATCAGAAGGTATATTGTAACTACCAGTGAGGTAGTGGTCCCATCGGTTGTTGGAGCACCAGTAAGCATTGCAACATACACGAATGCCACCACAAAAAAAAAATGCTTGATCACAACCATGCACAGACATTCTTTTAGCACACTCCCTTGGCAATGAAAACTTCCCTTTTTGGGGTATAACATAATAAAGATGTTAAATTATAAAAAATCAAAAAACATAACATACCTTGTATCCTTCTGACAGTCTGTACTTTCCTGGTCTGAGGTTCTAGATAAAAAACAAACAGAAGAAAGAATAAGACAACTGCACTAAGTGCGAAAGCAATATCATTATCTAAAAGGACCATAAAAAGCCTGATCAATCTTTTGTAATAAGACTAGGAGATGTCTTCTGCTTTCTCACGGTTTGCTTACAAAATAAAAAATAAACACAGGGCTATTTTCCTGTTGACGCCGAGCAAATTGATATCAATACATTCTGCCCAATTGTTAGACTTACTAGTTTAAAAGGTTTTATAAAAACATGATGACACTATTTGATAATATTTCTTTATAGTCCTTATTAATGGTCCTAAATTTCTAACCTTACCAATGTTTCCAACCTTCAAACTGATTTATGTCCCAGTTGACATAATATAATAAAATTTTCACAAATTCCCATTTGTTTACACTTCTTGAAATCTAACATTTTCCAATGCCAACATGTTACATCTAACAATCTGGTATGTACACCTATTCAGACAGTTTCTGCAATATATTCCTGGTCACTTATATACATCTAACCACTAATGAAGAGAAACTATTAAAATATAGATTTTTTTGGTTAGGTTAAAACTTTATATATAAGCTTACCTAAGGATTTGAGCGACATTTTCTATCCTGGGTATGCAGGAATAGCCACCAAATAGTTATATTAGCTCAATGTGTTTAGATGCAAACTTAATATTTGCCTTCAGACTATTTATTACTGTCAATGTTTTAAAGAAAACATTAAGGTGTATATATCAAGCTTAACGCTTGTAAAGTTGATGTGCCTGCTCTAAGAACATTCTATCGCCAAATACATACAAAGTGACCATGGCCATGTATAAGAATCAATCTTACTTTTACCTATATTGATATCATTCATTATTAGATATTAGTATGGTATGGGCTTTAGTAGAAAACTACAACACTAATAGGATGCAAATGAAAACATACCGGTAATATCCAAAGTTCTATGAAAACTTTGTCCTGTGTTTGATGACATTCAGGGTACCAGTACTCCAGAAGGGCAATGTGTATTCTATCACAGCACTATACACACACACACACTATATCATCACTGAATGATTGTTGTGATTATAACAAAAGTTTTGTTTTGGTTTTTTTTTAAATTACCATTTTACTTTACTGTCATGTCACCAATATCACCAAGCTTACCTTTCAGCCTCTGTATATGCTCAATTGGTGGGAGTGGTTCGGGCACACTCTGCTGTTCTCATTTTACATAGTGCCCCGTTCTAAACTAGATTTACCTTGAGTGGATTGTGGGCAGATTATATAGAGGAATGAGTGACTGTATATGGTTATTGCTGGCCAGTCTGCATTGGTGTGATGACAACTCCCCTTTTGGTCCAGATTGTCACTGGTAGTTTGGCTGAGGCTGGAAATACTGCATGAAGCTGGCTGTCATGGAGACTGGAAATTAAAGTTATGTATAAAATTCAGGAGAAGACTATGAAAAAGTCTCCTTAAAAAAAATGTACAGCACCAAGGGAACCATGAGGGGATAAAAAAGGTAAGCTTGGAGTTCTGATTCCAACATCCTATGGATTGTGTGCATAATATAAACCTTTTGTGGAATACTTGCTCCTTGTAGCTTATACATTACACCTTTATAGTTCAGTTTTAAAGGGCCCATAGACTTTAGACGGTGGCTAGATATGAGCAAACAGTGGCAGAATGATCCCCCCCACCTAATCCATATATATGCATACATATTATATTAGTATGCTTATGTATATCACAGCTAGACACATCTAAAAAATATAAGCCACACTCCAAAACTTGGCTTTTTTTCTGTATTTAATTTGTCAAAATAAGAAAAGAATACATACATTGTTGTCTCCACCCAAAGCCACCTTCCTTGATGAGTTTCACCACTGCTGGCTTGTGAGTGTATGTAGTTTCTTCCTTTTTTGACAAATTACATACAGAAAGAAGAGCTAGGTTTTGGTGTATGGCTTATATTTTTTATAATTTGATTGAGTGTGGAGATAGGCTGTGAAAGCCAGGACCTGGACCATCCTTGTGGGATGAAAAGAGCAAGTCTGAAGTGGAGCCATTGGATTGGGTATATTACAGCTAGATAAATAATATGTTTTGGGCCATAAAAACCAATACATAAATTTTTATCCCAATAAAACTTTGAGAATGTCTACCATGGTTTGCCATATCCTACAGTCAACCTAATTGTGATCTTTTTCTCTTCCTGTGATGAGCATTTTACATCAATGAGCACCTTTACAAACAAGATCATGTTCTTTAGGTACAACTGCATATTATGATTATATAACAGCACGTTAGCACAGAAATATACACTGGTTTTCAATTGTTAATTAGTTATGAATCATTTTGTGTTAGATACCAAAAAAATAGCGAAGTTAAAAAATATTATGATTAATCAACATTGGCAACGGTCTACCAAACACATGCTATAAAGAGGTTTAGGGGAGGAATGAATCCTTGTTTTTTATTATTCTTTTTAAAAAATGTTTTTATTTCTTTCAAATATGTCTTTATTATGTTTTTCAATAAAAAAGACAAAAAGATGACGCAAACAAATGTTCATTGTCCCCTTTTGTTAGTTGTTTTTTTAAAGACTAAATTGCATCACAAAGGAGCTCCCAAACAAATTAAATTTTTTTACTTCTGAAATTGTTTCAATTGCTGTGAATAACTGTATAGAACTGAGAAATGTAAAATCTACAACTTTAGTCTTTAAAAAGAAGTGATTTCACCAGATAGCTTACCATCACCAGCATAATCTGTGTTATGTGTTATTAGTTGCTCAGTTTCACTTACTAACCTCCCTGGAGAAGCCTTTTCAGTTCTTCATCATCAAGTAATTGTGTTTCACCTTCAATGTACTTGGATACCTTGGTGACTTCTGATAGGATACATTTTTATGGCATCAATGTTCAGGAATGTATGTATGAACCAGAGGGTTGACATAACCCATACAGCAGTATTTATTGCATACAAGGCTCAGAGAAAAGGAATTGGAGACCCTATTATCATTGAACCTAAATATGCCTATTTTATAGACAGATGGGGAATGCATACTCAGCCATGTAGGTATGTTGGTCCTGGAAAAACAGAACTCTACACATGGAATGGAACATCTGAATATAAAATTAATTTCAACATGACACCAATAGTACTATGGTAAACCTCATATGTACTTACTGAATGAGTTACTAAATATTTGCCACACCAGTAATCTTAGTAGAATCAAACAACCAATCAGATTATTACTCGGGTTACTGTAGCAGATATTTTGTTATTTATTCACAGAGATTCTGAAACTAAGATGAATTTTTTAAGTCTCCATCCAGCCTATTGTACCAGTCAATGGAAGCAACAAATCATTGATCAAATAAGATAGGTCACCAATAACCTACATCTAATCTGTTAAAACAATTTTAAATAAAACTAGAATGCTAAAGTAAAGTGTTTTGTTCATTACAAACAATTCACTTTATTATCACATGCTAAAAATCTCACTTTTTTTTCAGATGATGGATTACTTTTACCTTAGTTTTGTTTTACCTAAATTGTCCTCTATATCTCCATAAAGACACTATTATTGTTTATGCATGCTATCTATAGGGTATATTTACCAATGGTAAACCCAGTGAAGTTTTGTTTGTTTTAATATAACAAGTAAAGGGCCTTCAAAATGAAATTACTTTTGGGTGATGGATTGCATCCACACATTGGTGGACATATTTGTGACGGGAAAATAAAGGACATTAAAGGTGATTGGAAACTGTTTGTGCCTCCCAATACGTCACTAAACAGATAGTGGATGTGATGTGGAGAAGTCATGCTTGGAACTAATAACAAAACAGATTTACTCTGTGAAGTCCTTATAAGAATTTTTAGCATCTTAACTCCCTCCGTGACATTTCTCTATTAGGAAAAGGTTGAATGGCTGCACCCATAGGTGTCCTAAATTATTTTAAAAGCAATATCATGTTACTATGCTATTTCAATATCCATCTCCCATGTTCCTGCTGATGAAGCAGACCTGTGGTATCAAGGATTTTGTATCTTTCTTTCTCCATGAGCTTGAATATGATTAGGAGACTATGTGAATAAAGTAAGGATAACATAGATGTAAAACACTGAAAGCTCAGGGATATATGGTAATTTGTGTAATTTATGATTAAATTGTTGTTTTAAGCATATGCATCATTTTTTACTCTTGGAAAGGAATAGTATATAAGGATAGGTTTTTTTCATTTATGTTGAAAATAAAGTGATATCTCTTTTAAGCACCTAGCTTGAATTATTCTAGCTTACAAATTCACACTTTTTTTACAAGTTTGTTATTGTTTCATTCAAAATTTAAGTGAATACAATGTTCCTTAATATATTGCTGATGTTATTACAGCACAGCTTACTGGACCTGTCTCTCCGTTTTGTGGTGGCTCAAAATCTTGATTTAAATAAGCAGACTGATCTCTTCACATTCAACTTGTATGCAACAAACTGGTGTTGCTTTTTTCTAGTTTATTAGCTGTAATGTAATATTACTATCAGAGGCAGACTGAGGGGCCCCTGGGCAATAGGGAATCATGGGGCCCCTGTGTCCCTGCCCACACTCAAACCACACCAAAAAAGCCTAAGAAAGGTACCAGGGGCATCTCATGGGGCCCCCTTCTGACCCTGGGCCCTCGGGCAGTGCCCGAGTTCCCAAATGGTAAATCCGCCCCTGAATACTATTAAAACACAATTCAACCCCAGTTACTTTTTAAAAACTGGATCTTCTCTCGCTTTCTGTCCTGGTGACACCTGGTCACACCATTATATAAAGGGTGTCACTGGAACATATGAGGGTCCCTTCCCTAATAGAGACACAAACAGTAATACAAAAAAACTGTTGGGGGCTCTAAGTAAGCAATAAAATTGTGTTTTATTGCTGCTTGCATCTCTTTTGGGGAGATTTCAGATGACAGGGAATAACACACTTACAGGGTCAGTATCATTCCCCCATTCTATTTAAGACTAGAAAAAAAGTGTCTGGACTTTAAAGCACACCTGTGAAAAAAACCTATGGACATTACATTATTTACATATTCCTAACACACAGCAAATCAGCTTTAAACAAGGCATTCCTGGCCTTTCTAGCTGCCTGTCATATGGAGTTTTTGCTTCTCATATATCCTCAAAGATCACAACAAGGACTCTTGGAACTTGGAAACATCTTTCAGAGTCTTTTGCTGTGAACACTGAAAATGAATTACCCCAAAGTAAATATAGATACAGAGATAAATGAGGGCTGGTTTTGAAGTGTACTTATTGCTTTTATGAATATATAAATACTTTAGTCTGCATAGTCTGGGCACAGGTTCAATATAAGGATAAACCAACCTCTTAGTTTGTAAAATATCCATAATATACAGTAGACTACATGTGATGTGATAATATACACCACATGTGACTACTAAATAGCTAAATTGTACTTTTTCCAATTATAGGATCATAAAAGTATACAAACCTTCCTCTAGTCTCCTTTTGAGTTCATCATCACTAATATCACCTCCGAGACCAGTGGAGACACGAGTGTATTTTATTTCAGGGCCTGTAAACAAATGAATCAGCAAACTCTTAATACAGCCCTGTGCAGCCATCTTTTTACCAAAAAAAGCTAATGGTGAAATAGATAGAAATGTAATACTGGGGAATGTTTTTTTTCCTTTAAGGCAGAAAGAAGTATATGGCTCACCATTTTCTTGGTGGTATACACTTACTTAGCCTGAAAATGCAAATTCTTTATATACTAGAGTGTTTTCGTACTGAAATCCTCAGAAGAGATGATTGGAGAACAAAGTTATGAAAGACCTATCATTTTTACTTTACCTCCTTGGATCACTTTGGTCATTTGAGTTTTGCCTTCCTTTACCAGTTTAAAATCTGGCTCACCTTCAATCACTCTAGTGATCTCAGAAATAGTGGATTCTAACAAAGTTGATTGTAAAAAGGAAAAACAAGAGAACTGAAATGTTTAACATATAAATTTGATTAAATATAATTGTTAAATTAAAACAGAAAAAGACTGTAAATAATTAATAAAGGAGATTCAGTTTCTGTTGTCATACATTTCAGTCTGATTAGGCAGCTGTGACTTTAAAGTGGTTGTAAAACCTTACATATACATACAGTACTGCATACCAAGCTAATCGACTAGTCTCTGGTGATACCCAGGGATGAAATAAATCCTCCTACATAGGTTTCCTGGCTGTAATTCACAGGCTGTGTTCTGGAGCTCTCCTCCCTGCCCCCTTTGATTCCCAGCAAAGCCTGTCTGAAATGACTCATACAGATAGCAGAAGAACAAGACTGCAGACTGAAATCAGACTCAGTGCTTTGGATTAAGGCAAGTAAACACTAAAGAAAGATATGCTTTGTTAATTTTTCATGTTAGAGATTTACAACCAGTTTAGGAATACACAGCTGCAAGTTTTGTGCTCTTGTCTAAGGAAAAATTAAATGGATGAAAAATATAATAATCCATATTAAAAAAAAAAAGTATATAATTTACTCTTGTCTGTACAAATAAAGAGAATCAAAGATCCTGCAATTTTACACTTTACCTTCAACAAACACTTTATTCAGTTCTATTTTTCCTTTGATTACCACCTTCAATCACCCCAGTGGTTTTAGTAATTGTTCATTTCTTTAATAAGTAAAATTATACCATTCCTTGAAATGATTTCTGTGATTACATGTAGTACAAATAGGCATTCCAGCTATTACTAAAGATTATTATTTGGGACTGAAATATTTTGTGTGAGAAAAAAGAAATATAGATTAAGTTGTTATGTTCAAATAAAGGAAGGCAGAATAGACTTTCTTTCTTTTTACTTTACCTCCTTGACTTAGTTTTGTCTAATACGTCTCCTTAACCAGTCTAAATTCTGGCTCACCTTCAATCACTCTAGTGATCTTAATCATGATGGGCTTCTGATCATTTTATTTTGAAACAAAAAGTAAAATAATCACACATTTAAGTTACTTTTTCATTTTTTGACGGGACGACAAAGCGGGAAAAACAATGCTAGTAGAGCTTAAGGGTTCGAAATTTGACTTGGCTCAATCCCTTTAGCCACTAGCGACCAGTGTAATTGTGGGTTTATTTTAACTGACATTCAAAGGAGGCAGATCATTCACCATTTCCTATTAATCAAATGCAAAGACACACACACACCAGTATATATTGAACACAAATATGTTTTAAACAAAAACAATGTCTAATTATTTCAGGAATTACAGTATCTCCAGTACAAAAATAAAGTGAATTTCAGTTAACCAAATAACATGCATGTGGATATTACTATAATACCCCTAAATTAATAAAGCATCTATTGCATAAGATGACTTGCACTCACTATCTCATGTATCATGCAACTGTAGAAGGTAGGTGAGAAAGAAAAAGAGAAGTTCTATAAACACTTATATCATGCCAGCCTCTCCATGTGTCATCTATACAGTCAGTGAATCATGGGTAAATGTTATTACTAGATTTCTGTGGGAAGTGAATAAGAAGGAGGCTTAGTATTAAGCACTGATCATGTACACTGGTGGCAGAGCATTTGAAGGATTATGTAACAAACATTTTAAAGCATACCAAGAACAGACCTTCATTGTTATGAAGATCCTAACTTTAATGTTTACATTGTGCAAAGAAAGTTAAAGGGAGAAATGGTATGAATAGGGAGAACATGTATGTTATATGCAGCAATGGGAAAATGTATTATTACCACCTTGAATGACTTTGGTTATTTTAGTCCCTCCTTCCTTTATCAAGCTGAATTCTGGTTCGCCTTCTACAACTTGGGTGATTCTGGTGATAGAGGGTTCTGAAAAGAGATGGTTATAAAGAATAAGCAAGTGTAATTGGATGGCTAGATGAATGAATGGCTGAGCCCATGAAGAGATGAAGATTTTGATGATGGCATGATGATAAAGAAGGATTGAAGAGTTCAATGACTGTATAACTTGATTTTAATGAGTGAATTCACTATTGTATGTGTTTTGCCTCAAGGTAAGTTCATGAAAGATATTACTATTAAATCAAATTTTTACTGGCACTGTCCATTGAGATATTATTATATCTCTCCTCAGTGGTGATGTTAACTTACCTCCATGGATAACTTTAGTAATTCTGGTTTCTCCTCCAGGGATTACTCTGACTTCAGGTTTTCCTTCAACAACTTTTGTAACTCTAGTAATGGTTGACTCTAAAATAATAAAGAAAAAGCATTATTACATATACTTTTCCATGCAGTTTTGGTGAAACTCCCCCCCCCCCCCCCGGAATGGTTTCTGATTGCTTTGCAGAGGCCATATTGGCATCCTCCTGCCCAACCATCCTTTGATTAAAAAAAATCAAAGGATCCACACGGAAAATTATTTGCAGATGCTGTTTGGGTACTCTGACATCCACCAGCCTTGAATGTCAGAAGATAATAGACATAGTGGGTGATTCACCCATCTGTACTGTATATCATAAATGGAGGAACCTGGTAGATGTTATAGGTGTGTATTTCCAGCCTTATTGCCTCAGAGGGCTCCATACTAGCAGATTCTAACCTTCTTTCTTGCCCTCAATCTCCATGTCTTGGTATGCATAGAAAAAAGACGGCAGTGATGCAAATCCCAAACCTTTAATTTTTAAACATGGAAGAAGGATAATCTGCAATCCTTTTTTATTAGAAATGGAGGCCACTGACACCTGCAATAGAAGAACATTTATACTTAATTCTCCCATGGTGTGTATCTCCTATCTTTCTTCATTTCAATGCTGCAGCTTCTGTAAAACCTTTTGGTATTTAACACTTCCAGGAGTGTCTGATAGCTGTATTCCCTGTTCAGTTCTGTGGTTCCATCCTCCAACTCCTACATCTCTAATGAATATTGTAAAGATATAGAAGTCCAAGAAATAAGCTGCAGCACAGAATGGGGTGCACAGGAGTTTGACATTCCCAGAAATATTGAAATCCACAGTCTTGCAAAAGTGGAGGAAAATCAGGAGTAGCCATCGATAAGGTGAGTATAAATATTCTTCTATTACAGTTTTTGTCTTAATCTAAAAGGGTACTTTAATGATGATGTAATTTTTATTCTATGAATAGGATGTAGAAATATGCAGGATAAAGCTGCAATAGTATTTTGAATGTTGGACTTAAATCTGCAATGGTACATGTTTTAGAAGTAATTTAGAAAACAAATGGAATGGGATTATTTAAGTCAATCTGAAATAATTTCTTTGCATAAAGTTGATTTAACTGGAATCCATTCAATGTGTCACTCCTTTTTGACCAATGACACCATATTTTTTAAAGAAAAAAGCGAGGCTGATTGATGGAACAAAGAAAGCTAGCAAAAATAAGGTCTACAATAGACAATAGATTACATTTTAAGTCAGATTTGTTTTGTTTCAACTTTCATAATTCAGCTTTGTTGGTTATGCAATGAGAACTTGATAAAAAGTTAAAAAATAGCTATATTTATTTAGGATAAGGGTAAAAAGTTTTTTTTGAGAATAGATTTAGAAACTTTTATACATACTACTGCAATTTATGTTTTTCTTTTAGAGAAAAAGTAAATTTTTTAATTCTAGGTTTACTCAAGTAGGTTCTTTTTTTTAATAAGGTATTTTATTTTATACATTACCTTTATGCCACTTATTCCACATTTCTGTCCATAGAACGCACATTTTATTAATCTTATTTCAAATAATGTACAAAGTAAAATTTTATTAGTACCATGTGGTCATTCTGTGACTTTAAGAGCAAAAACATCCCACGTGAAGCATGTGAAAGCAGAAAGAATAGAGCAGTGAATATTGGTTGTCACTCCAGCTTTAGAAAACAGACACAAAGAGAAGACCTGGAGATTCAATTTAATAGAAAACTTCCATACAATGTGGTGCCTATTAATGGTGATGCATGCATTGTAATAGATAGTGAACACTTGAGCTCATTGCACTATATCACATGCAAACATACTTGTGAACAACTCATCTCAGTAAAAAACAAATTATAGTTGACATTTAGGAAACCAGCAGGCAAAGAGATGATAGTGGCAGCAAAGAGAACATTTGCTTCGTGGTTGTGAGACTGCCTGGCCAACGAGCATGGTGTTTCAAAAACCAAGCGGAAAACATTTTCACAGTATACCTGAGTCTCCTTCCACAAAGAATTCTTGATCCATAAGCCCATCTGATGATTTTGTAAAGTAATATATATTAAGCCTCTTATTATAATTGGTTGTTGGGTTTAGCAAGGGTATCCAACATAGATTTTGACAGCCCCTTTACACCAGACACAGAAGACCAGTCACAGAACCTCCACTGGATTGCCTATAGTCATGAATGTATGGTTGAACTGGACTAACTATGTAACTATGTAGTGTAAAATCTGTTCTAAACTTCAGGACTGTTAGGTGCAGGGGCTTACAACAATGGCATCACTGTATTTTGTATTTCATGAATACATTATATTTACATTGAGGCTGGTACTATATGGACAATAGAAGTCTCAGCTGTGCAAATGTGCACAGTTCAGAGATTCAGAGGTTACTAAAGATGGTAAGAGGTTTTGTTGACCATTCCTAATCTTAGATGCTTTTTTTGGAGTAGGAGGAGCAGTGGGTCATTGCATGCCTCTTGACTTATAATACTAGCAATGTTAACTGAATTACTTATAGGAAACACAACTGAATTGTATAAAAAGCCTAGCAATGTTAACTGAATTACTTATAGGAAACACAACTGAATTGTATAAAAAGCCTAACTTCAACAATTATATTTTTAGTCTTAGAGCTTTGGGGTTGTAAGGTGCAGGAGCTTACAACAACGGCATCACTGTATTTATTATTAGATAAATAAATTCTATTTACATTGAGGCCAGTATTATATGGGCATTGGAAGCCTCAATTGTACCAATTCTGAAATTCAGAGTTTCAGAGGTCTTGCTGACCTTTCCTATTCTTCGATGGATTTCCTTGAGTTGGGGACTCCATGTTTGTCTATGAACTCACTGGAGAGGTTTTCCATCCCTTCCTGTTCTGTCAGGAAATGAGCAGAATGACAACTACGACAATAAAAATCTTAGAGAAGATCTAACTCTTACATGCTTATTTGAAAATTAAAAATCTAAGAAACATTATTGGATGGAGTGGGCATTTATTTCTACAGAGAGCATGATGTAGATTCATCTTACTTAAAATATGTTATAGACATTATTACCTACAGCTCTTCTAGTTTGTTCCTCTAGATAATACAGAAACAAAGCCGTTTAATAATTTTGCAGATACTGCTAGTCATCCAGGTAGCTACTTTAATCTGTTTCTGTCTTGGATCTGAAGACATTATGGGGTTGATTTACTAAAACTGGAGAGTGCAAAATCTGGGGCAGCTCTGCATGGTAGCCAATCGTCTTCTAACTTCATCTTGTTCAACTAAGCTTTTAAATAAAATGAAGCTAATTGGTTTCTATGCAGAGCTGCCCGAGATTTTGCACTCTTCAATTTTAGCAAATCAACCTCTATGTTACCAAACAGTATTTGCTACTGAACATAATGCTATCTTTGTTAAAGTGTATGTACAGTATATATATATATATTTATAAGTATTCTGTTATCTTCTATTTCTTTTCCAGAAAATATGAGGCAGATATTAATTAATTTTTCCTGGTCAGATGTTCTGGTTACCTATAGTCTTATAGCAAACACAAAAACTTAGCAAAAGTGCACTGTGACCTGTGCTGTTACCAATAAGATTTCAATATACTGCTGTTTATCATTTGCACTTTGTTAGGTGAATAGCTTTGCTTTGTCTTTTTTTAATATAATAAATAGATATATATAAATATTGTATAAAACAAATTATTTTTAAACAGCGAGTACTTTATTAAAATAAAAGAATGCAGCATTTTACTCAGTAATTTTATTGCATACCTCCTGGGATGACTCTGCGAATTGTCTCAGTCCCGCCACCAATTACTTTTGTGATTACTTTTGGCTCTGTTACAAAGAAACAAAGAAATCAATCTCCGATTGATTTAGTTTATGTATACACAATTTGATTCATGAATTACCCCTAAAACTGAAAAAAAAAATCATAAACCTTTGCAGGTTTATAGTCTGGACTGTGCTATATCTAGGCCAGGGACGGACTGACAACTCATGGGGCCCCCGGGCAATAGGGGATCATGGGACCCCTGTGTCCTTGCCCAAACTCAAAAAAGCCTATGAAAAAGGTAGCAGGGGCATCTCATGGGGCCCCCTACTGACCCCGGGCCCTAGGGCAGTGCCCGAGTTTCCAAATGGTCAGTCCACCCCTGATCTAGGCCACTATGTAAATGTAATGTCCTGCTTCACATTTTCATTGATTTTAGAGAGTAATGCAAATTAAACATATAAAATTACTAATTTAGTTCATGTGTGTATTATTTTTTAAGGCTACCCTCAGACTTGTTCATACCAAGCAAAACACCATGCATTAACATGGTAAGAATTATTAACTTGAGTAAACACCATAGCTAACAGTAAAATTCATATAATTCCCACAAGTCACAATGGATGCTCAACTGGCCTGTACAGGCATGACAGAGCAAGAATTGTAAAGAATATTAAAACCTCTGATGTTGCATCGACTGGGTAAAAAGTCATGTATATCCAATATGTAGTGAAATATACCATGGTAAGCAATTTTTAAAAGTGGCTTTACACATACCTGAGATGACCTTTGTAGTAATAGTTTTTGTGACTGGAAGAAAGAGAAAATGCTACTTTTGAAAAAGAAGTTCCTTTGTTACATTTATTGATATATGTAAATTACCATATGTAATAAATGTACATGGAAATATCAGTGCAAATTTTTATCTTTGGTTACCAAAGCACTACACATAGTAAAAACCCAAATGAGCCTTCAATTTAAATCAGCTAAATACATTTCAGATGCATTAAAAGAAAGGTGTGTAAAGTAGGGACACACCGATACTATTTTTTGATCAGCGATACTGAGTACTGATACTTTGCAGTGCGATTTCCATCCATACAAAATGTATGGATGCAAATTGCACTTCAAAGGAAGGCATGCGATTTGAACAGGAATGCTATTCCTGTCCAAATTGTTTACAGTTTCCCCACTGCTCCTGTATCAACCCAGGCTTGTTCACACAGGAGTAGTGCCAGAAACCTCCCTGCACTGATCCAAAGCTGAGCGGAGAGTGGGAAAGAAGGAATTGTGGGGATGTATACCTTGGTGTCGGCCATTGGAGGCAGATGCTCAGCTGTATGAAAGGAAAGAAAGCTGTGCAATGCTCCAGATTCTCAGCTGTAGGAGAGGAGAGAAAGACACAGAATTTTAAATCCTTGTGGCTTTCTCTCCTCTCCTTGCAGGGATGACTGTACAGGCTAAATGACTTTTGATTGGTCAGCATCGTCACATTGCTGACCAATCAGAGGCTGTCTAGCCCGTACTGTCATCCCTGAAGGAGAGGAGAGAAAGTCACAGGGATCTGAAATTCCCACGGCTTTCTCTCCTCTCAGTGCAAGGATGACAGTACGGGCTAGATTGCATCTGATTGCTTAGCACCATCACAGTGCTGACCAATCAAAAAACATCTAGCCCATACTGTCATCCCTGCAAAGAGAAAAGAGAAAACCGCAGGGATTTAAAATCCCTGTAGCTTTCTCTCCTCTCCTACAGCTGAGAATCTGAAGCATCTGCCTCCATCCTGTGCCTGATAGCCAACACAGTGTATCCATCTCCACACGCCCTTCTCTCCAACTCTTCGCTCAGCATGGGATAGGTGCAGGCAGGTTTCTTGCATCACTCCTGTGAACTCTAATCCTAGGTATGACAAGCTTTGATTTACACAGGAGCAGCTGGGAAACCACATGCAATTTGGACAGGATTAGCATTCCTGCTCAAATCACATGCTATTCTTTCTGGTGCAATTTGCATCCATACATTTTGTATTAACACAAATCACAATGCAAAGTATCGGAGCATTTTCACAAGTACCCGTGAAAATACTGAGTATCGGTGCACCCCTAGTGTAAAGTCCCGTTTTCTATACAAAGCAACCACAGCTTCTTTAGAAATGCCTGTTCCCTGCCAGCATGCTATAGAGAAGGACTCTGTCTGTGTTTGGAAGAAGTTGTCTCTCTGTACAGGTCTGATATGTCCCATGCTGAATCAGACCCATAGCTTTGCAATAAGCAAAGCTCATGCTCTCTGTGTATTGGAGAACAATAGATTTGATTCAGCAGGGGGCATGTTGAACCTATGCAGATCGATCATTACTTCTTCACAGATAGAAGGGGTCTTTCTCTACTGCATGCTAGCAGGGTTTCTACTCTGGTTGTGCCTGCTTTCTAAAGAAAACAAACTGTAAGACTTTGCACTTGAAATGTGTTTAACTGATTTAAGTTGGATTGGTTTTAAACTAAACATAAATTTGACACTGCTTTTCCCCCGTTACTACATATACTACAGAGTCTGGCAGCAAGTATTCCTTTTATATTTAAAACAGAAAACACATTTGGATCTGTAGGTCATGTAAGCACTATGGAGCTTATGTATCAATGCATGCTTCTTAAGAACTGGGGTCATTTGCCCATAGCCTCCAACCAAATGTTTAAAGCAGGTCCTATACTAATTGGTAAGTGAATTCTAAGTCCTAGTTGATGCATAAAGCCTACTAATTTTTAACTATGAAAAGCATATACAGGTAGGTTTTTTTATAGGACAATAACATTGATGATATTAATAAGATAGTTAATTCCAATTATTCTTAAAAATTTAGCCCAATGCAAAACACAACTATGCTGTAAAAGTTCTGAAACAGTATTGCTTCACCTGTCTTTAGTATGAAAATGCCTTTGGATCATTTTATCAAAGTTGAATGCCAGAAAAAAATAATTATACGTTGTAAGCTGCATGGTTTCGGAGCTTGGTCAAAAAGCAAATATCAGCAATTCTTTTGTTTGTGGTATCATTTTCCAAGCTGCAATTAAGGGCAGTTATCAAACATGCAAGCTGCCAAACTAAAATCTTCTCAGTAAGTTTGAATAGAACTTTATAAAGAGAGGTTGGGTTAAGGAATTGCAACTCTTATGAAATTAAGGTATTACTTACTGTATCTGGTCAGGGGGATTTCCTGGAATTTGAAGCCCCGGTCATACTAAAAAGAAAAAAAAGGGGATACAATTGACTACAGAACTAAGTTAAAATTAAGCAGTAACCAGTCAATTTTATTTTAAGGCCCCTTTCACATGGGTGATCCAAACAGCTCTGCCAGTCAGTTATTCAGGTGGACATGATCGGATCATCCATGCAGCCCTGTGGATTTAAACAGACATGTGTCCTTTACACCCACCTGCCTCCAATCAAATCTGGTCCAGTAAACAAAACATGAAAGGGGATATGTCCCTCTCCCTCTAGGTAGATCAAAGGATAGTCAGTTGTAAACAGACAGCCGGTTCCTTTACTCCCGACCATCCACAGAGCATAGCTGTGTATGTGTCCGCTCTGCATAAACTGCGCAGCCATGGACCAATCATCCGCCCTTTCTGCTCTGCAGGGGATCAGCAGACAGATGCCCTGCTGAGCAAAGCAGATTCTGCCTTGTGTGTAAGGGACCTAATCCTCCCGGAAAAGTCTGCTTTCTAAAGCTAGTCAAACCCTCGTAGAATTTTGTTCAATATTCTAATAATTAGTGGAGTCAAATTGATTGTATTTAACCATATTGATGAGTAAAATCAAAGGAGCAGGATGGAAATTTTTCTTGACAGAAAACATTTCTAACAACGAATGCAGTTTTCGTTTTGGAAATTAATTTCCAAAATCAATGTTGAAAGCAAATAATGGCATCACTGAATGTAGTGACAACATTTTTCCTATAAACGAATATATGAAAATCTACTGGTATTCCTGGTTTTAGACATGCCAAAACATTGAAATATCTGAAAAGTGAAGTATGTGCAATGACATGATATGGCTATGCATGTCTATGCTGTCTCATGTTTTGGGATGATCATTCAGGGTTCTAATTGTAAATTCAAATTTGACTGCATAGCCTGCTTGTGGGTACTCTGGTTCACAGGTATTGTGCACTTCAATGATGTATTTGGATAATAAAAATACTCTACATGGAAAATTAAACTTGCTTGTAGGCAACATCCAATTGTACTTCTAGGTAGTTGTGAAGACACAGGAGGTTTACTAAAACCAGAGCACTCAGAATTTGGTGCATCTGTGCATGGTAGCCAATCAGCTTCTAACTTCAGCTTGTTCATTTAAGCTTTGACAACAAAACCTGGAAGCTGATTGGTTTCTATGCAGAGCTGCACTAGATTTTGCACTCTCCAGTTTTAGTAAATCAACCCCATTGATCATATACTTTAACATCACAACAGAGATACAAAAGAAGAGAATTACGGATAAATGTTATTAGGTCCACAATGTGAAATTAAGGTCACTTAAATGTAATTTACCCTGATTGTAATGTACTTGATGATTTTATTTAGAATTCCAAGCAGTCTATCATCACCAATGGCCCCATCTGAAAGATGATAACAGTCTCTTAATAATGTAATAATATCTTGGCAAGCAAAACACAATGCAGCAGAGAGAACTTGATTATTGAAGGAGAGGCTGGTCCTTTAGCTTTGACATGTCATATGACAGGAATCTCTTTTGGATTTTTTGTTTCTCATTCATTGTAATAGCACTCTACAGTAAACACATTTGTAAAGAACAACACTGTAACTCCCTCTGCTTTCCAGTAATCAGTAGAAACTTCTGGAATATAGGTGTGGGACTATGGAGATGGTAGCCTGAATAAATATAAACTCTGGCCAATTCCGGTGAGCTGGGCACTAATGGTATGCTGGGTAACTGTATATATTCTCTGAGCACACTGAGCTCAGGATCTTTTCCTGTAGGAGAGGAACACAGCCTAAGGGAGGGCTGTATGTTCCCCTGGGCTATCCTGCCATGTGCTCACTGTTCAGGAATCCACAGGAGGGCAGCCTGAGGGCCTGGATGCTGAAGCTACTGAGAGCTAATTTAAGGAATGTCTACTGAAGATCTGGTCTAGTATCACTGGAGGAAAGTGTCACTTGGAAGTTGGAAGGAGGCAACATGCTGTCCCTGGACCTTTTGTGAATACAGACTGCTGAGAGATCTTAGAGACTTTTTGGGCTGCTACCACCCCATCTCTCTGGTGCTAGAAAGTCAGCAGAGTGTTTGCTAAAGGAGACATCAGCTGATGTTCTGAAGAGCTTAGCTTGCCTTGTTCTCTGTGAAGGGATTCTGCTCTTGTTTGCTCTACAGAAAGAAGCTTGTGTGCTTTATCAGTCTTGTTGCTCTAAAGAAGGAAGCCTCAGTGCTTTTACTATTCTACTACAAGCCAAGTCCACAGTTTGCCATAGACAAGAACTTTTGCTTCAATCCTATAGAAGGAGTTCACTGTCCTCAATTTGCACTTAGTTTCTGTTTTTGGACTATCCCACTCAATTCCATTATCCCTATCCACGCTCTCCAAAAATAAAAACAACACTCCTAGACTGTTTATTGAGGAAACAAGTGACTGTGTTCGTGTGCCTGGTTGTAGGCAATCCATTTGGGAGGAACCTGGGCAACATTCCAGCTGCTCCTACGAATAAATGCTACACTTTCTATTTAAAAGACCACACAGGAAATGAGGAAAACTTTCCCCAATGGCTACAGTTATAAACAACAGTAGTTATAACCCTTCCCCGCTCTGTCCAAATTTAAACATATAAAGGATTTGGCTGAAGTTCCACTTTACAAACAAAAAATGTCAATCTAATATACCCCTCTTTTGGAATGTGTTGAACCATTTGCTGGCCAGAGGAACCAATAACACTACCACAATCAATGCAGTGTTAACACATTCTTTCACTCTATGGGCAATTTTTCATCTACAAACCAAACAATGAAGAATGTCAGTGATGATGATGTGTAATATTTTTTAATATCACTAACCTGCAGGGAAGAGAAGCTTATCTACTACATGAATCACACCATTGGTAGCCATTAGATCTTTCTCCTTAGAGGCAACACCATTGATGCTAATGGAGTCATTTACCTATGAAAAAAATATATGCATCAGAGCACTTGATTTATTGTCCATTTACCTGCAATAAATGCAATACTGTGTTATTAAACTATGACTTAATGTACCCATAGAAATCAGGCAGTAGTAGATAGCTAGATAAATGTTCTAACCACTAAAGACATATTTTATTCGCCTTGGTAACATACACATATAGATTAGATTCCAGTGCACATGGAGTTTCTGTTGTATGGATTTCATGCATACATACTCAACTATTTAACCTAAGTACATACTTAAAATGTACTCAAATGAACAAAAAGTGCTAGTAGTAGTCATGGAAGCAACTATGTGTTGAAACCCCATTGCAATACCATTGAGAGCTTTCCAGTTTTTATTTACGTTTATCTCAAAGGCAATATCTCTAAATATACAAAATTCTAATTGCCCTCATATAAACTATGAAGAGTTTATCAATTATAAAGAGTTTATCATGATTTTCAAATTATTATAATTTATTTGCCAATTGCTTTTTCTACCGGAATAGTTCATGATATAACCAGACAGCTTTCGGCACCCTGTTACTGTATACCTTTAGTAGGGTAGTAGGGATGTCAACATCAAAGTCTGTCTGTCTAGCTATCTATTGTATTTTCTCACTGCTCTTGACAAAGCAGCCCAATAATGATTTTGAAGTAGAAGAGGAATGGACACACAGCAATAAATACACTTTACTGTAGGGTATGCAGTATGCTTTAGGGGTGCAATCGTTGTTAATGCATTTATGGTAAACAAGATTTTAACTTACAAGTTTAAACATAAGGTTCTTTCCTTGGAGAGATTTCACAATGTTGGTTACACCAGGCTCAAATCCACCACCAATGAATACTCCTGGGGCCAGATGGTAGAGAAGAATGTTCTGCAGGGCAAGCTTGTTATCTAGTAACACATCAGACAGAATATATGAAGCAAACAAGAATTCATTTATCTATTAAAAAGGCAAAATAACTAAGTTGGTGTCTGCTATATATACACAGTATATATTAACTTTCCTCAGTGGTCAGTTTGTTATTAAGACTTAGTACAAACAATACTCATTTATACAGTAACTGCATTGTTGTTGAGAAAAAAGCAACCCCCTCTGGTTGATTAACGTGCATTGCAATGGTTTTAACAAACTGTTGCAGAGTCCTATCTATTTCTTCTCTAATGAACAAAAAAGTTTGTTGTCTGCAGAGTGAATCTGAATAGTAGTGACTTTTTCATTATTAGTCATAGTAAGCTGATGCGCTTGCAGGGTTCAAATGAGGTAATTTCAGTGTTACCACCCCTTTAGAGGACATTATCTATCCCTTAGGGAGCATCTCACCAAAAAATGATTGTTGCAGAGGATGTCTAAAATCTGACTTGTGTCTTCATGCACACTTCTACGAAAATCAGTAAGCCAATCACATAGGCAGGAAATTATATTTCTGGGGGTGTTCCATCAGTGGTGTATGGAACGCCTTCAGGTTGCCAAATTGCATTGAATTACACAGAAAAGTGCAGTGCTATAGAGTGAAAGGAAAGGTCATTTAATTACAATATGGCTTCTGTAGCAACTGTTATATACTATATCTTTCTTTTTCTATATTTTTTGAGTTACCCCTTGATACATAGTTTCATATTGCTTTTTGCATATGTTAAACTGAAAATGTTTAACAGTATTACTAGTTACTTAGTTAAACGATTTCTGAAAGATATTTTTTTACACTCAGCCTGCTATTGTCGGCACTGAAGGCAATCTTTGGTTAATATCTATAAAGCTTCAAGTGACTGATAGTAACACAGAATATTAGGCTGCCCTTAACCCCATAGGACATTTAAAAATATATTATATATATATATATATATATATATATATAAATATTGTTATGGGGAATACATACAAATTTGTTAATCCTTTTAAACCGTAGATGTTTCTTAATACATCACAAAATCTTAACAGCTTGAGGTTTTATTATTTCTATTCCTTGTAGGAATGAACTTTTAATGGCCATTCATCACAGACATCTTTCCTTAAGATTTTATGTTCATTTAAACTATTTTAGGCATGTTATTTACTTGTAATTCTTTCCATTGTGCAGAAAACCTAAAGCACTGAGACTCTGCTGGGTGCAACTATCTTGGTTGTTATGTTATCAGCCCCAGCAGACTCAGAGCTCTCATTCCCAATCACCCTTCTACCAGCAGCTACATACAGTAAAAGGCAATGTAGTGAGGTGAGGAGTGAAATTAATTAGACACTCCCAGAACAGGAGAGAGCTATGGCATGAAGGAGGGGGCTGTGCTAGGGAATTGACTTTATTTAAAGAAGCCACATTTTTAAAAGCACATTGCAAGTCAATAAAAAAAGGGATTACAAAAAATAATTTATCTAAAAGGTGTGCAAAACCAATATCTCTATAGTGATCACTACAAAATATGTGTGTGAAAAAATAAGGTTAAAGGATAAGCTCACCTTTCATAACATGTTACATCTTCTCCTCCCCGCTTGGTATCATAATGTTTAAAAAATGCAGCCGTGCGGGGTTCCACCCGCCCGCGTCACTCATTGACAGTATTCTGTGAATGGGAAAACTACAAGTTCCAACAGTCTTTGCGGCTATCGGCTTGTAGTTCTTAATAGACATTGAGCCTTCCTGTCAGTAAGTATCTGCTTACGGGATGTACGAGCAAGCAGATACAGTGACAGGTCAGAGGGAGACCTGCATGGCAACAGTGATCCTCTGATGGCTGGTTCAATGCTTTGGAGGCTCTAGAAACAAAAAATAATAAATATACATTTTTTTACCTACAAAAAAATGTGCATATATTATTTTTTGTTAAAAGGTAAACTCATCCTTTAACTCATATTAAACCATAACATATAAATCACTTCTTCATAACAAAGAAGTAGACTTCAAAGAAAAATATATAAAAGTCCAAATGTGAAATCTAGGAAATTATGAAAGTACATGTGTAAGAATCCCAAACCACCTCACAGACAAGTATGTCAGTTCCCCTGCAAACATGATCTCCAAATGATAAGAGATTTTACAGCACAAAATCATCCAATTGTGGGGCCACCACTCAGGATACTACTGACTCCACCACCTCCACAATCCTGAATATCCCCTGAAGACGTCCGTTGCACACGCGTAGGGCGAGGCCAGTGGCATATGATGTTGTACACCCACTGTTGATCCCTCATGTGGTGTGTTTCGCCTGTGTTACTCTAACTTTTGTGAGCATACAGTGGGGTAAAAAAGTATTTAGTCAGCCACCAATTGTGCAAGTTCTACCACTTAAAGAGATGAGAGAGGCCTGTAATTGGCATCATAGGTAGACCTCAACTATGAGAGACAAAATGAGAAAAAAAAAATCCAGACAATCACATTGGCTGATTTGGAAAAAATTTATTTGCAAATTATGGTGGAAAATAAGTATTTGGTCACCTACAAACAAGCAAGATTTCTGGCTCTCACAGACCTGTAACTTCTTCTTTAAGAGGCTCCTCTCTCCTGCACTCATTACCTGTATCAATGGCACCTGTTTGAACTTGTTATCAGTATAAAAGACACCTGTCCACAACCTCAAACAGTCACACTCCAAACTCCACTATGGTGAAGTCCAAAGAGCTGTCAAAGGACACCAGAAACAAAATTGTAGACCTGCACCAGGCTGGGAAGACTGAATCTGCAATAGGCAAGCAGCTTGGTGTGAACAAATCAACTGTGGGAGCAATAATTAGAAAATAGAAGACATACAAGACCACTAATAATCTCCCTCGATCTGGGGCTCCACGCAAGATCTCACCCCGTGGGGTCAAAATGATCACAAGAACGGTGAGCAACAATCCCAGGACCACACGGGGGGACCTAGTGAATGACCTGTAGGAATGACCTGTAGCTGGGACCAACGTAACAAAGGCTACCATCAGTAACACACTACGCCGCCAGGGACTTAGATCCTGCAGTGCCAGACGTGTCCCCCTGCTTAAGCCAGTACATGTCCGGGCCCGTCTGAAGTTTGCTAGAGAGCATTTGGATGATCCAGAAGAGGATTGGGAGAATGTCATATGGTCAGATGAAACCAAAATAGAACTGTTTGGTAGAAGCACAACTCGTCGTGTTTGGAGGAGAGAGAATGCTGAGTTGCATCCAAAGAACACCATACCTACTGTGAAGCATGGGGGTGGTAACATCATGCTGTGGGGCTGTTTCTCCGCAAAGGGATCAGGGCGACTGATCCATGTACAGGACAGAATGAATGGGGCCATGTATCGTGAGATTTTGAGTGCAAACCTCCTTCCATCAACAAGGGCATTCAAGATGAAACGTAGCTGGGTCTTCCAATATGACAATGATCCCAAACATACCGCCCGGGCAACGAAGGAGTGGCTTCGTAAGAAGCATTTCAAGGTCCTGGAGTGGCCTAGCCAGTCTCCAGATCTCAACCCCATAGAAAACCTTTGGAGGGAGTTGAAAGTCCGTGTTGCCCAGCGACAGCCCCAAAACATCACTGCTCTAGAGGAGATCTGCATGGAGAAACATAGGCATGCATGGGCCAACATACCAGCAACAGTGTGGGCCAACCTTGTGAAGACTTACAGGAAACGTTTGACCTCTGTCATTGCCAACAAAGGATATATAACAAATTATTGAGATGAACTTTTGACCAAATACTTATTTTCCACCATAATTTGCAAATAAATTCTTTCCAAATCAGCCAATGTGATAGTCTGGATTTTTTTTCTCATTTTATCTCTCATAGTTGAGGTCTACCTATGATGCCAATTACAGGCCTCTCTCATCTTTATAAGTGGGAGAACTTGCAAAATTGGTGGCTGACTAAATACTTTTTTGCCCCACTGTATCTACTTTTAATCATGTGGTTTTAGCATACTACTCTATGGACTTTTGTTCTTTCTACTACCATTTATTACTTTGAGGTGCTGGCTTTGGATAACCAGTGAAGGATTGTGGAGGAGGTGGAGTCAATAGTATCCTGAGTGGTGCCCCCCCAACTGGATGATTTCTGTACTGTTGACCCTGCCCCCTTGACCCTGTCCCCACACATCTCCTACGCTCCCTCACCCACATCTTCAATCTCTCCCTTTCTACTGGCGCATTGCCCTCCCCCCTAAAGCATGCGCACATCACTCCCATACTCAAAAAACCCTCCCTGGACCCCACCGACCTGAACAACCTTAGACCCATCTCCCTGCTGCTATTTAAATCCAAACTCCTCGAGCGCTTAGTCTATAATTGCTAAGCTCCCACCTCAACGACAACAACCTCCTTGATCCCCTACAGTCTGGCTTCCGTCCCCTACACTCCACCGAAACCGCCCTACTCAAACTCACCAACAACCTGCTAACCGCCAAAGCTAATGGCCACTACTCAGTCCTCCTACTCCTCGACCTCTCCGCGGCCTTCGACACAGTTGACCACCCCCTCCTCCTTAAAAAAACTATACTCCCTTGGCATCAGAGACTCCACTCTCTCCTGTCGCTTCTCCTATCTATCCCAGCGCTCCTTCAGTGTTACCTATAACGCTGCCACCTCCCTCTCTCCCCCTCTCTGTTGGGGTCCCCCAAGGCTCTGTCCTCGGGCCCCTTCTCTTCTCCATCTACACCTCCTTCCTTGGCCAACCGATACACTCCCACGGATTCAACTACCACCTCTACGCCGATGACACGCAAATCTACCTCTCTACCCCTCGCCTCACCCCCTCAGTCTCTGCCCGAATCACCTGCCTACTGAACGACATATCAGACTGGATGTCACTCCACTTCCTCAAATTAAACCTTTCCAAAACCAAGCTCCTAGTTTTTCCCCCAGCCCGTGACCCCCCCCCCCCTCCTTTCCATCACGACCAATAAAGCCACCATCAGTCCCACCCCGCAAGCCAAAGTTCTAGGCGTCACTCTAGACTGCAATCTGTCCTTCCAGCCCCATGTCCAATCGCTGGCAAATTCATGCAGGCTCCACCTCCACAACATCTCCAAAATACTTTCGTTCCTAACCCCAGACACTACTAAGCAACTCATTCACTCCCTTATTATCTCACGACTCAACTACTGTAACTCCCTCCTCACCGGCTTACCTCATCACAGACTATCCCTGCTTCAGTCTATCCTGAACTTAGCGGCCAGACTCATCCACCTTACCAACCGCTCTGTATCCACCACCCCCCTCTGCCATTCCCTCCTCTGGCTTCCAATTGCCCAACGCATAAAATTCAAACTTCTAACATTGGCGTACAAAGCTATTCATAATACTGCCCCAAACTACCTCACCGGCCTGATATCCAAATACCACCCAACACGTACTCTTCGCTCCTAACAAGACCTCCTACTCTCTAGCTCCCTAGTCTCCTCCTCCCATGCCCAACTCCAGGACTTCTCCAGGTCTTCCCCCATCCTCTGGGACTCACTACCCCAATCCATCAGACTGTCACCTACCATCCTCACCTTTAGGCGTACCCTGAAAACCCATCTCTTCAGGGAAGCCTACCCCGCCTTCACCTAACAGCTGATCTCCTCCACTCCTCCTACCTCTTCATCCCCCCCAGCCATTTCCTCCTGTACCACTATCCCCTCCCTCCTAGATTGTAAGCTCCAAAGAGCAGGGCCCTCGAACCCCTCGTGTATTGTATTGTTACTGTATTGTCTCATGTACTGTCTCCCACTATAATGTACAGTGCTGAGCAAACCTTTGGGCGCTATATAAATACTGTATAATAATAATAATAATACTGTTGATATTTATCATTTAAGGATCATTACTGTTTAGTAAGGGATATGACACACTTGTCTGTGAGGTGGTTTGTGATTCTTAGACGTTGACTTTCATCATTTTCAAGATTTTACATTTGGACATTTATATATTTTTCTTTGAAGTTCACTTCTTTGTTACGTATAAATGAATTATATTTGTAACTATCAGGTTGTCTAAACCCTCTGATCTGCTTTTCAAAAACAGCGAAGTAGAGTATGCAACCTAATATAAATGGAAATTAAATTTCATACTTTAAACCAGTCTTTCATAGGCCAGTCCTCAAAGGACCAATGCTAGGTCATGTTTTCATATCCTTTTATTGAAAGGAATTATTAAAATTAAAAGTTTTAAGCTGGTATTAATTAGCACAGCTGTGAAAGCTCCCATAACTCTGAAAATTAAAATCTGTTAGTGGTCCCTTAGGACAGGTTTAGGAAACCTAACCAAACCAAACCTACTTTTCAGAAATTCAATATCGCTGCTGCTAAGGTCTTTGAAGGCATCATTGGTAGGGATGAGGAGGGTCCAGGCTCCAGGTCCTGAAAGAAGCTCTTTCAGATCTGCATGTTGGATCAAATCTAGGAAAATGCTATAAGCAAAAACATAAATAAAAGGTTACCAGTGCAAAAAATTCAAATGAATATTAATATAATGCACATCATCATAAGGCAGACACTAAATCCTGGAATGACCTCGAAGATCATCAATGCTGACAAAAAAATCAGGAACTGTTGAATTGTCAACAAATGGCAATAAGCCTTATTATTTGTTATTTTCTAGATGTTTGCCAGTTTTAAAATATATTAATATATATCAATGTCAAAACTACATTAACACTGCATCACAGGCTGCAGCACTTATATACTCATCTGAAAAGGAAAATGTAAAGTGCAAAGTGTAGTTACTAATAGGAACTGATGAGAATTTATATACATAGACAGCAGGTATCTGAAATCTCAATAGCTGAGAGACTATGGGGTTGATTTACTAAAGGCAAATCGACTGTGCACTTTGCAAAGGGCAGTTGCTCCAGAGCTTAGTAAATGGGCAGATGCTCTGCTGACTTCCATCAGCCAATCATGCACAAGCAAAAATGCTGTTTTTTAAATTTTCCTTGAATATGATTGAGTATTCTTTGCAAAGTGAAGCTTTACCTCATTTACTAAGCTCTGGCGCAACTGCACTTTTAGAGTGCAACTGCACTTTGCAAAGTGCACAGTCTAATTGCCTTTAGTAAATCAACCCCTATACTTTGCTTTCCTCAGCGGTTCTTGCTCAGCTTCATTGCCACTTGCAGTATTTATAAATATGCCTTTTTTGTTATGTTCTTTTGTTAGTAAAGAATATTTCATAGAACTTTATAAACAATTGGATCCCCTGTTTCCTGTTTTATGACAAGGAGGTGGGGAGGAATAGAAAAAGCAGAATTCAGTTTAGTTCATTTATACCGTCATGTAAATAAAAAATAAAATATTTTAATATGCTATCTTAAAGTTAATTTAAAATAATTTTCCAAATAATAAAAGCCTTTCCTAGAATACAGTTTGTAGGTATTTTCTTTTCCAGCAGCATGCCATTATTTTATACACATGATCAATCCAAGCAGCACTGTGTACAATAAATGGGGTCATTGTGGTATACTGTAATCTAAAAGAAATGTTAAAATTACTGTACGAACCACAAACCAAAAGTCTTCTAATAAAGCTCTGCCAAACCAAAATGAAGTAAGCTTTCATAAATGGCTTTCTAGCTATGTCAAAAGGCTCATAGCGGTTTATGAAAGGTTTCATAAACCTGTGCTGTAGAAATGATTGATGAAAACTGCTCAATCAGCAAATCTAAATTAGATGTTTGTATTTCCAGCAAATGAGCTCATGCAGAATACATTTGAGCAGAAAGACATTTCTTCCATATCTGTCTTTTAACAACCAAACCCTGTTGCATTCATTTGATGCATATATGCAGTGATGTGGTTCCAGAATAGCTACATTTGCTGTTTGGTGAAGTCTTATTATGAACTGTGAATAGTCAAGAACCCATTGCTCCCTGTGGTGGCTGTGAGCATCATTGTTTGTCAATGTCTCTATAAGCAAAGCTCATATGAACACTGCCTCTGCAACTGTAGAAGATAATAGAATTGTGTAAGAAAGATAATTGAATTGTTCTTTTCTGTTGTCATCTTGTAAGGGATATCTTACCTACCTATCCTACCTTTAAAGCAACAATAAAAAGTAGAAACTAAAGTTGGGTACACACATTTTTTTTTGTTCAACCAGTGGACTGTATTCTGTATCTACACAAGCGATATGGATGCAGAAATCCCCCCTGCTGTGAAATTGTACTCTGACAGCGGGAACTCCTCATCTGAATCAGAATACACTGATCAGCACTACTGCCAATTGGCTGCAATCCTCTGATCGAAGGAAGTTTTCCAGCAGGATTGTTCAATAGACACTGATCTAACGATTGACTTCTGTCGAACTGGAAGGGCTACACATATATCAGAATTTCGCTGCTCCCTGCTGAACTGGCCTATTTTCATTCCATATGTACCCAGCTTGAATAGGTTGAATGATCCATCTAATGGAACTGATGAACACTAGGTCCTTCTAAAAGAAAGTATCTTTCATTCAACAGTAACTAAGTTTACTGGGGTACAACTGATTCCCAGCGTCCTCAAAATGTAGTGACGCCAGTCACGCCAGTGGTCTTTGTTATGCTATAAACATAATGTAGGCTGAAAATTAGCTAATATGGAACTAGTATACTTGGACAAGCTACATGGGTCTTCGATTAGGGGAGAACTTATTTTCCATTGAAAAAAGACTGTTTAGGAGGTTTGCATAAATGCATGAATCCATTGCTTTAGGGGATTAGGAAGAATTTTTTCCCTATTGTACCAAATTAAACCATGCTTTATAAGGGCTTTCTTACCTTCCTCTCAATAAACTACAGGCTTGGGGTTCTGAGGATACAAGTTTAACTGTATTTATTTTTTGGGGTTTGACTGAACTCAGTGGAGATGAGTCTTTTTCCATCCTGAATAACTATGTAAATATGTAAGCAGGGCTAATAAAAAATGTAATCATTAATCAGGAAGTTACAGCCATGACCACCCTGACAGCAAGTAGTCTGACCAATACTACTGCAGGGAAAATACCACTTGCTCTTTTACTACAACAAGTGGTTTCAAAGTGTAAAATGATATCAAAGTAACTTTTTTCAAAAACCAGATACTAATAATGCAGCGTACGCACATTTGCTGTTTTTTTTAAATTAGCTTTCTCCTCTGAGCATTAAAAATGTCCCCTGGCCACACTGCCACACTCGCATTCTATTAGTGCCAGAAAACAAGGAACAGAGGGCACACCAGCCTTGTGCACTACCTTTGTGATAGCTTTGTTGTATTAATAAAATAAATATATACTCACAAACAACTCAATAATAAAGGCACACAATGTACTCAAAGTGACCTGATCACTTAGGCAAGTCCCAAACATAAGCAGACCCTCCAAAAGGTTGGCGCGTTTCGAGGGCGGATTACCTCTTCCTCAGAGCCAATCATGGATGTTACACTGAAAGTCCTTATATAACAAATGGATCAAATCACAAGATTTATTTCTTGCCAGTGCACTGCTCGTGAGCACAGGAGATTGTTCTTCTTTGTTCTATTAGTGCCCCCTGTGCTGTGTGCTGCCAGAAATTCTGTAGAAGTCTCCTCAACCTCCTGCCTAAAATTCAATTGCATGTGCACACAAAAGCAGCATGAGAGCAAAACAGCGCAGTTGTCACTCACCACTGTGTCCTGCTCATGCTACCTATGTTTGATGCACTTTGAATGGCTGAATGTACAATTGTAGTTCCAAGCTGGAATGCACACGCTAAAGAGACTCCTATGAGACTCCTATAGAACTCCATAGATCCTGGCGGTACAGGGGGCACAAACATAATAGGAGTGTAGCAGCATGGATGGAGGACAATTCAAAAGGAAACTCAGAGGAGGAAATGTATAAAAAAAAAATAGCAAAAGCATGCAAGTTATATTAGTATATAACTTATATATATATAAGTATGAAAAAAATACTTTAATATCACTTTAAGTAATATCCTACAACCTATATTTTTTTTAACTACAATAGCAGTGGTCAGGTGTTACTGTAAGAGTGAATATGGCTGTTAATATTTGATATTAGTTTCCAGGAACAGAAGCTTCAGTGTCTGGCATATGACATACATTTAGTCATTGTAAGAAGTCTGCACATCTGAAGTATTCTGGTGACAGCCAGAGCAGTAAAAGAGAATAATAAAACCTAAGGCAAATAAAATCACACTAAGGCACTAAAGTCTAAGACAAAATGAAAATATTGGTTTTGATTTACTAAAGGCATATAGGCCGTTTTGCCTTTAGTAAATTAACTCCATTAGTTCTAAAAAAAGCTATCATAAAGTAGAGAACTCTACCTGAAACGCCTATCAAGGCTCAAGATGTCAAAGAATGATTTCTCAGCAGGCTTGATGATTTGTTTGAAGGCGTGAATGGCACCATTTCTTCCCTCTTTGCTTCCACGAATCATGCAGGAGTTTTCAATGCATACAGCCTAACATTTGAAACAAATGGAGAATGTTAGCACTACCAGAAATAGAATATAAAGTTGGTAGGTAAGTAAACTGCAGATCCCATGTTTCCCCATTGGATATCAGTATGGGGGACAGTAAACAATTCTGTTTGCATAGTAAGGCAACTTTAAACAGTATCAGTGAGACAGATTATATAACAGATTTACTGTAAGAGCTCAGCTTCATTCATAAATTCCTCTCTCTGCTGATCCAGTGTAGCACAGAGACAAGATAAAACCTGCTCCTGACCACTTCCTAATTGTGTCTGTTTGGAGTGAAAGTCTGTCTTATCTTCAGTGCTAAATTGGTTACTGACCTGTGAAAATCTGTCTTACTTGCTGCCCTGGGTTGCAGGCACACGGGTAGTAAAAACATAGAAAAAAAAAAATGTTCACTCTGCTAAATTACAGGAATCCTAACTACTACCTGTTACTAAGAAGCCTAAATCATATAAAGAATTGATATATTTAGCAAAAAGTTAAAGGAGGTTAAACTTACAGTGCGGTAGACAAACACTCTCAGAGTCTTTCCACCTAGGGTTTCCAAGACCTGTCCATTGTAAAGGCTATTAAGAACAAACTTTTTGCTTGATGATGTGATTCTGCAGAATGAGTTTAAGGAGACGTTGATCCATTCTCATTGTTTCCTCTATAAATAAGACAAATGCAGTTTTACTTTTACAAAACAATCCATACTTCTACTAAATATAACCTTATGGTGACTGCATTCGAAAATTTAACATATCCAAAGTAACAGTTCTTAACCCAACAATAAGCAGATATTTATCTGTGTACAATTCTTACAGTCTTTTTTTCCTACTTCACAGCCCTAAAAGTTAAAGTAAGCTCTCTCTGACCTTGGTGGTTGCAGACATTCTGGAGCAATTCATCTTCATCTCATAAGAGAAGAACTGTAGTTGGGATCTAGTCAGTTTCTGTGAAGTTTTAGCAATGCCTTTCCAGCCTGCTCTGTGTTTACATTAGAAAGTTAGAAGGCTGCCAAGTCACTGTTAGGAGAGGAGAGTGAGCTAAAGCTGCTGAGAAACTGACAAGAACTTAACTTCACTCAATTTAATTTGCATTTCACTATCAGGATTTAGGGACAACTCAAAATGTTCTGCATAGTGTTTGTCATTGATCAGTTGAGTCACAAGAGCTGATAATCTGAAGGAATGGATAAGCCAACCACTTCACTATTCAAAAGTGGAATCACAGAAGCCATATTGTGAATGTGTGTGTTGGAGCTTAGGGAGCTGACTATTCTGTGTTGGAATTTTGTTTGTGTTTTTATATATATATGTCAGCTCATACCTCATACGTGCAAGCAGATACACTCTAAAAGGAAGTATCAAGCACTGCGGTAGTTCATTGAGAACTACAAGTCTACAGCCGCAAAAGGCTATCACCATTTCTCTGCTTATTTCTCACCAGGAATACAGTTGCAAGAAAAAGTATGTGAACCCCTTGCGCTGTGCTCTTGCAGTCATTTTTACAGGACGACCAAGCCTAGGGAGAGTAGCAACAGTGCTAAACTTTCTCCATTTGTAGACAGTCTGTCTTACCGTGGACACATGAAAATCAAGGCTTTTGGAGATACTTTTGTAACCCTTTCCAGCTTCATGCAAGTCAACAATTCTTGATCGTAGGTCTTCTGAGAGCTCTTTTCTGTGAGGCATGGTTCACATCAGAAAGTGCTTCTTGAAACCAGTAAACCCAAAACAGGTGTGTGTTTTTTAAGGGCAGGACAGCTGTCAGCAACACATCCAATATCATCACACTAATTGGAGTCAAGGTTGGCTCACTCCTGGCTCCAATTAGCTCTGGGAGAAGTCATTAAGCTAGGACCTCACATACTTTTTCCTCCCTGCACTGTGAATGTTTACATGTTATGTGCAATTAAACCATGGCAACATCTAATGTTTGTGTAGTATTATGTTCAGCAGACTGTGTTCTTCTATTGTTGTGACTTAGATGACGTTCAGAGCACATTTTATGCCCAATTCATGCAAAACTGCCCGGAATCCCAAGGGGTTCACATACTTTTTCTTGCAACTGTAAATATATTAAATAATAAGAAAGAAATATGCATGTAATCCTACAAATCCTAATAAACATGCACATTTTGCTTACCAGAGAAAGCATCATTTAATGGTGCCAGGAGAGTGAATTCTGAATCTGCCTTTAGAGAGGCTGCCAGTCCCATTTGGGCCATGAGGTCAGTGAAAGTGGTCTGTTGGCTTCCTGCCAATTCCAAAACTTGCTTAGCTGAGTACAAGAAGAAAGAAAAATTAAATATAAAATACATATATTTTATGATTTCAAGTAATAATATAAATTAATTTTATATTTACTAATGCAAGAAAAAATGCTTCATTTAGTAAATATGGAAAAAAAACCTAATATGAAAATGAAAAACATTATGTAGAGATAAGTTTTATGGTAATTTGCTAACCTGTTAAAATTGAAGATCCTATTCAGTGTCACTTGCAGTGATGGACCTATTACAATAACAAGTCTTTGGTGATATTCTAATGTACTTTGTGAAATCTGACTAAAGAGTTAAATATACCTATGAAGTGGTTAAATGTGAATCAGTGGTGCAAAAGAATTTGCTTAATTTTGTTGATTAAGTTCAAATACACAGACTGTTTTATGTAACTGTTATGAAGTGCATATATACAACTAGCATTTGCTACAAATTAACCCATTTCTTCATACTGGAATACAAGTGAGAAAAAAATGGCACCAATCGGGGAGGAAGGGGGACTGCCCAGGTAATTGCTTCATGCCTTGTCTTTAAAGTGGTTATACATTTTTACATAAACTCACTGAGGTGACTAGCCTCAGGTGATACACAGAGATTAAACAAATTCACCTGCATAAGGTGTACCTGTTTATCTGTAGCTATCTTTCCTCCGAAAGCATACATGTTATACAGCACCTCTGAACAATAGAAGGCCAAGGGCAGGGATCTGACATCACACACTGCACAGCATAGAGCAGGGAGCTGAGTGTATTCTGAGACTTGAGTTGAGGGAATGGACTCACTGCCCTCTACACAGTCTCATAGAGAAACATGCGCAGCTGAAGTCGTCAATTACATGCTGTGTGCTGGAGGGTGGGGCTGTTTCCTAGAATTGTCTGGTGTTGCAATAGAATATCAAAATTGACTCATGCAGATTGCAGACAAATGACAGAGCCCATATATTTGGGCCTTGATTTTGATAAAGACAAGTACATGCTAAAGAGGGATATGCTTTGTTCATTTTTAAGATTTAAACCACTTTAAATTGATATCCAGCAAAATGCAGCTACTCACCAGAGTCAGGAATGAGAACCTCATCAATCAAGTGAATGACACCATTGCTAGTAACTATATCCTTCCTGTTGACCAGTTTCTTGCCATTTATAGTCAAGCTGTCTCCATCGCATCCAATCTGCAGTGGGCTTCCTTCCAAGGTATCATAAACTCCTCCTCCCATGATGGCCTCAGAACACTGGACAGTGTCCAGAATGTGATAGTTCACCAGGGCTAAAAGGAGTACAGAAGACCTTCATAAACTTCATTGATCATATGATTAATGTAACAGATGTAGCAATGACATCCCTACTACAGTAGAAATATCTATAGATGCAGTAATGTAACTAGAACACTCCTAAAGGGTCTATAAAGGTATTAAATGGCTATTCATTTTCACACAGATTATATTGATCATCACTTAAAAAAAGATCCATGTTTTTAGAGCCATGATCTGTATCATCTGTTTGTGTTTATCAACGGTTTGGGTGAATGAACTTTCCTTATCCTGGGGCCTGTTTCACATGACATATTCCATTCCTTGCTGTTACTACTTTTTTCCTGCTTGTGGGGATTTGGTTGGACATGGGATACCATTAAAAGTAATGGTAGTGATGAGTTTTTATTATATTTTGTGAAATGCACTTATAAACTAAGGGTATGATATTTATTTATGTATGTAGATATGTTGTCCATAAATAACAAAGCTAAGTATGTGCCATTGTGAATGATACAAACACAGCTGGAATATACCACATACCCTCAGCTGCCTTTTTGTCAGCCATAATCCTTTCCAGAACATTTCGTGGAAGCTTCTCGAAAGCCTCATCAGTAGGAGCGAACAGAGTGTACTGACCGGGTTTTCCAAGTTTCCCCATGAGATCTGAAGCAATAGCAGCAGTCTAAAATGTAAATAGAATGTTATTTTTTTTTCCTCTTTTCAATTTTTTTTTTTTAGCTTAAGGCTATTTTTATGATGCCAGCTCTGCTGCTTTTTAAAACATTCAACTGTTCCCCTGTAGGCAACCTCTATGATACATCTATCATGGGTCCTCTCCTCCTAAATATTATCTGAACCTTATCTAACAAGCACACAAGACTGCCAACATCAAAACGAGACAACTAGTCATCACAGTCCTGTTGACTGTCTTGGAAACAGTTTTCACTGAAGGACTTAGATCTGAATCTAGTATCTATATCTAGTAAGATATATTTTCAAGTAGAAATCCTATAAAAATAATTATTTGTCATTATTTTCCTTTATTTAAATGGTTTTGGTGCATTAATATTGTAATATATTACATTAATTAAGTAAAGCACTACTACAACTGCAGCTACAACTAGTGTGGATACCTAAATTTAAATTGGGTAATAGCCTCTTGCAATCTTTGGTGTAGGGTTAGAACTGCAAAACGAAGAAGTAGTACTAAGGGCCGAGTACTTTGTTGCAGTGCATATAAGTTGGCAAGGAACCTTCAGAAAGAAAGAGAGGGCAGAGTGAATAGGACAACCCATTACTGTGCTGCTGCTGTCCCTTTGCTGTCCATTCACAGCCTGGGGCCAGGAAAGTGAGCCAAACTGACTCTACTTGTAAGAGTGGCTTCATGGTTGGTTGGCTTTGGTGCCCAAGCACAAGGCCCTACTCCTGCTGCTACTCTGATATCCACCTGCCGAGGCCAACCCCTCTGCCATCTTGTGCTGTGCTCCTTACTGTAGGCCTCCTCACTACATTCCCAGCCATAGACCTTTATATCATGAAGAAAGAATGTCCACACAATAAGTAGATTCAATGCACTGGTGTTGTTCAGGGAGTGGCAATACACTCACATCACAAGAACATATGTTCCAGAGTCACATGACATACACAGTCAATCACATATAGTTGACAGTCCACAGTAGCCACAGGTGAAAGCATGTGCAGCACCTCAATAGCCATCTCCTACACTCTCTTCTCTGCCCAGAGTCATCAGTGCTCACAGGACATTCTCTGTAAACACCTCCTAGCTTGGTACGCCTCTCTTGGGAAGCAGTCTCATACAGGGATCTCCAGCCTAACCTAAAAGGCCTTTTGCAATCTTTCCTTAGCCAAAACCTCCTTAAGGGACAGAATGTCTACAGCAGGCTCCTCCTGCATAAGTCCTCTCCACCCAGCCTCCTGCACTGACCAGGGCCTACGTTTGTCGGCTACATGCTCATGGGTGTGGGGTGTATGGCTCCCATGCCCCAAGAAAGTGTGTGTCCCACCCCTCTTAGCTTATATGTGGGTGCCGACTCACCCCTGAAATCACTGTGGGAGGGTTCTACCTAAAAGGGGCCTAACACCTAATGTCACTACCTGCTGTACAAAGCACTAGTCTGGTACAGAGCCACCTAGTAACAAAGTGGAAAACCGCACCTGCCCACATGCTGTCTGGTAAGTATTTGTAAATCTCATGACTGGATTGACAAAAATACAATTACTTTTGCAGTAAAATAGCCCCCCATATGCATTTTACTAGCATATTTAGCTGTTAGCTGGTGCTCAGCTTTAAATAATAGTTGAGTTGTTATTAATGACGGGTAGTATTGCACTTAAATCCTCCCTGACACCCCTGTGCATGAAATGCCATCAACACTAACACTGGATTGTCATGGAGACAGAAATTTGCATTGCATGTTAACATTTTTTGCCTAAGTATGGTAACTAGAGATGCACATTAGTAAATGAGCTACAAAACTCTAATGAATATTGATCTTTCTAGACATATTTCCTGATCACATAAAATGTGAAAGTCCAAAAAAATATTTGTGCTGTGACAACGAACATAATACATATAATCATATAGTACATTATGTACTGTATGTCCAAGAAGATACTTACTCTAAGAGATGACAGATCATCCTCAGCATCAATAAAGTCCTCAATGGTGTTTCCAACAGCTGTGACAACACGGTCAATTACATGAACAACACCGTTTGTAGCAATCTGGTTACCATGAATAATTCTTGCACAGTTAACTGTAACAATCTGTAAAATGTCCAAACAAAATATACAGGATGATAAAATATATCAAGATTTAGGTAAGAAAAAGTTTAATTTTAAATAAATATGTTTCATGTCAAAATTTGTAGTCATGCCTTAGTTCACATATTAGTCCTCCAAATACAGTATAATTCAGCATAATTCAGCATAATGAAACATTTCAGGTTGAAGTGGTAGACCTAAAGGTTTACTGTGATGTCTGGGATTTCTGGTGTCATAAAGAAGTGGTATGCTAAGCACATTTTGTAATATGCTAACATGAATATAAATTTTAATATAATTTTAGTAAATGACTCTAGCCTTTATGTGCAAGAAGCCTGCTAGTAGTCCTCTAACTATAATAAACCATTTGATTTTTATTGTTGTCTTTGTACCCACTGGGGAGATTTAGTTTTACTTTATGTCCTGTCTTCTGTTGTCACCAGCACAGTAAGTTAAGGGAAACCTTAAATTTAATTGCTGTTACTAGAAATGGTGTGGAGAAGAAATATTGAAATGGGGACACCTGTTTGGTGACAATGGTCAAAAGTGTTTAGGATCTTTAGACTCATAAGCAAGGTCCTCTTATCCTTCTTGGCCTGAATTGTATTGTAATTGTACTGTCTCCCTTTAGCTTGTAAAATGCTGTGTAAACTATTGGAGCTATACAAATCTTGTATAATAATAGTAATAATGATAATTTATTAAGTAAAGACACTGTAGCTTATCAAATCAGGAAATATCCAATAGTCTTGGGAGATCAAAAAGTTTTTTTTTTCACTGTTAAACCACATTTGTTAATGTTTTTTTAATCTTCCTTTACATGAGCAGTGGGCTGAGGGTTCTGTAGATTTAATTTCTTTTTATCCAAACATTTTTATTGTAAATTGTAAACATTTATATGGCACAAAGAGAAGAACAGGTACATACATTGACTGACTGGTCAAGTTTGTCACCAGGAAAGAATCTTAGAGCGCTTTTCCAGACTTCATAAGAACATTACATCCAATGATCATACGTTAACATCATGACAGTGAATAACAGAGTAGACAGTAGGCATCTTTTGTCAAAACAGTTTTGCCGAAGACTAGTTTACACCAATTTCTGAAGGTCATCTAGCCAACGCAATATGTCTGAGGTAGGCATAGTAGGGAATCAGAGGCCGTATAACCTGTGAGCAAAACTGGCACTAGCTCACTCACACTGGAATGTAAATGCAAAAGCTACATGGTGTAGGAGGGTGCTGGACATGGAAGGCCTTACATTGTGGAACAGACATTGGCCAATGGGATCCTCCTGATCAAGGGCTGGTCCAGAAGTCGACCTACGCTATCTCGGTGTCAAGTACATGTTGGTCTGGATAGAGAGAAGTATAAAGGTGACAAAGCACTAGAGGAAGTGCAAAAGGAAAGGGAGAAGAGAAAAAGAAGAGAATAAGAAAAAAAGGGGGTGTGGGGATGGGTAAGGATAGAAGGATGGGGAAGAAGGGGTATCTCAGTGGGAACATGAATGTAAGGAACCCGGAAGGCCCTCCAGCAGGAAACCTCCTTTAACCCGTCCAGCAAGTGTGGGAGAGCAGAAGAGCTCAATAAGGTGTCACAACAGAAGAAAGTGTCATACATGCTTTCGCGATGCCTGATTGTGTGGGTCATCATGGGGGAGCATCCATTACTTGAAGGTATTCGATGGGTAATTGCAAGTGAATCCAGCAAGCCCAGGTGGATGTGAACTTGGAGGGGGATTCTTTCAATATACAGAGTTCTTCCATTTATGCAATCTTATTTAGTTGTCTATACCATTCAGATAAGGAGGGGACCTGAGTTGTTCCACAATGTATACATACGTATGCACATTTTAGCAGCGTTCACCATCTGCATTGCAAGAGTAATTTTTTTTTCTTATTTATTTTAAATTTTCCTCTGGTTTAACTTAACAGACATGTGTCTTTTCTCAACCTAACAATGTAACTAACATAACTATGTGTAATTTACCCTCATTAATGGAAGATTTCCTCTCTTCCTGTCTGGGACTAAAAGAGGGGAATCTCTCTAATGACAGATTTTCCAACTCTTTCAGCTCTGTATGGAGCTATAAGAAAATATTTTGCTGTTACACAAAATAAGTTACACACAAGGGCCATTATGTATACTGTATGCAGGAAGAATGTAAACACTAGTAAAGGGATCAGTTGCTGCAAATAAAGCACAAAAAGTAATAGTTTGCAAAATGTACATCCTTTATGTTTAAATAATCAAAACGTTTAGGATGGTGATCTCACCATGCCTCTCAAAATTTCAAGTTGGGTGCTCAATATCCCAGAACAATATATATTCTCAGGTTGAGGAACATTCTTTACAAAGTCAGCGGTTAGTTAAGATGATGTCACCAGCACTTCCCATAAGACTTTGAAGCGGAGACATAATTTTTGAAAATTATTTATTGGTAAAATTTTATTTTTGTATTTTTAAGCCATTATCTATTTGAGGCGTTGGGGGGGGGGGGGAGGTTAGCTGTAAGTGCAGTGGCCATTCCAATTTGATATACTGTATGGCCTCTTTAGTAAATCTGCAAACAAACTATTAAACCCCATTTAATTTCATTCACATTGAAAGAAAATGTCAATCTATTTTAATGGCTTCTCATTTTAAACAATATCTGCCTATAAAGTAGTTTAACATTTTCTTTCAACTTTATCAGAGTGCTGAAAATTTTCTTTCAACTTCATCAGAGTGCTGAAAAAATAATTACTTGTAACAGATAAGGTAAGTAAAGAGGGATGGGGGTAACAAAAATAGGTCATACATTCAGATACATTGGCCTCAGCAGTTGTTTATCTACTGCCTTAAAATGGAATGTGGTGAAGTGAAAATCTTACCCCATTAGTGTAATGGTTTATCTGGAGAGGTTGCTTATTGAACATAGATATCAGAGTCATTCCATTCTTAAGATCCTTGGTCAGCATTCTTCTGTCCAGCATATGATAATGCAGAGCATTCAGCAGCTCAATATTCACATTGCTCAGCAATGATGCACGGATTTCCTATAATATTACATCATAAGATAAAATTAGATGTTATATTTACAATGGCATACCAGTATTTACATTATTTTAATGGAATGAAATATTATGCAACAATTCACTGAAATTATTCTATTATTAAATATTGATTAACTGAATAAAACATAGAAAAAGAATTATAAACTAATCTATGTACAGATAAAACATATACAAAAATTATAAGCTAATCTATTTACAGGATCCAGCAGGTCCCATGCATCATTGCTAGGTGCAAAGAAAGTAAAGGAGCCAACTCCTTCAATTTCACTCTTCAGTTCAGACTTCTCTGAGTAATCTTGTGTTGTTCTAGCCCCCACAATTCCAAGAGTTCCATATACGTGGTCAATAGGAGCAACTAGAAATAAAGAAAGGAAATCACAGTGTATATTAAATGTTACTATGTCATCATATCCTAAAAATTAATTTTAGAGGATCTTCTTTATTAAATCTCATCTACCAGTTGAGTTGTTACCACTTGACCTATCCAAAAACAATAGCAGGACCCACAAATCCCTGTTTACTGCCTAAAATGATAGTGTTGAATGAACTGCAACTAGTCTTACTGTCACAAAAATAGATAAGGAATGTGTAAATGATTGTATACTGATCACTCGGAGACTTGCACTTCATTTAATGGGTTTGCTAGTGACATGGAAAAAAAAAAAAAAAAAAAATATATATATATATATATATACATACATACGCACACAGTGTATATATGCTTATGTCAAATAAATATTTGATTTGGCCTAAAAAAAAAGAAAGGCCCATGGCATAGCATGTGTCCGGATACAGTAAAAGAATTGAACCATACATTTTTTATTCTGCTATTTTTGAATAAGCTTTTATGTCCTTTAAAGTGAACCTCTTTCAAATATTTGTACAATAAACTGGGCTTGGGATTAAAAAAAAAACATACTGTAAGCAGAGCAGACATGTACATCCAAAGAATCAGTAGACGTAGTTGCAGTTATTTGAAACTTGGTCAAGCTTGGTCTCATCTAATTACACCTCTATTGGTCATGTTGGCGAATCATCACATTAAAGGTACCAATAGAGAAGCTCAGCAGTTGATAGTGGGTAAAGCCAAGCCTTCCTTGTAGAAAAAGCTGAAAAGTGCACATAATTTCAGATGTCTATGTTTTTTTAATCCACTGAACACTGAATGATGCATAACTGATTTTCCCAGAAGGCAACCTTTGATTATGTATTTATGACAAGTGTACTTTATGAAGATTCATACTAAATGTACATATACATAATATTCCATGTGATTTACATATTTATACACTAATACTTGCCCAGGAACATTAACTGAATCTGTATTTTGTTCATACCTGCAGGACATCCTGGTTGACCATTCATAGCCATATATCCAGGGCAACATTCATACAGGACAGTCCTGTTTGGAAGAGAATTTGAAACTTAGATGAAGTGGGCTGACAAAGTGCATTTTTCTCAAGCAGCACAGAAGCAATGGGGGAGATTTAGTAAAACTGGAGCACTCAGAATCTGATGCAGCTGTGCATGGGAGCCAATTCACGTCTAACTTCAGCTTGTTCAATTAAGCTTTAGCAATAAAACCTGGAAGCTGATTAGTTTCTATGCAGAGCTGCACCAGATTTTGCACTCTCAGAGCAGTTTTAGTAAACAACCCCCAATGTAATAATTCTATGTCAGTATGATACAGATTTTGTAAGTCTTTTTAATAAAAAAAATCTACATGATTCTACATTCATTCTTAAAAATGATAGTCAATGGTACGGGCTGTTTCCTGAACACTTGATAAAATACGAAGTGTTTTTACCACTGATGCACACTGATGTCAAAATACACCGTTTCCCAGTTTTTAAACTTTTCTTGCTGGAGAAATACAGGTTTAAGGGGGGTTGCTCCCTGTTAAAAAAGGTGGACTCATCCTTTGATAGGGGAGATATGTCCTACAGTGCTGGTGTTTTCCTTTCAGGATTCCCATTGGTAAGCTGATTAGAACCTGTTCTGGAAGCTCTGGGTTGCTCAGTACTTAGCAAACAAAAACCTGACACAAAGCAGACATTTTCCTTATCTAATATATGATGACACAAAAAACACTTAAAGCAGGTAGTCAAGTCTAAAGTCTGAGCTCTGAAGTTAAATTTCAGAGTCTGAACAGCCAGAGGAAAGCTGGCACAAGTGCTCCATAACTACTGTGGGAACTATCACATTTGGATACTGATACACAATAAGACAGTAAAATAAAACTCAGCTCACAACTACAAGTTTTTATTTTGGTTACAGGATATGGCCTAAGCCAACCTTTCTTAACCAGGAATCTTTCAAAGATTGCTGGGGTCCTTTCAGCAATGAGCAATTTCTGCCTCCCAGATAAGTAACTACCAACGCCAATGATCTCTTTAGACATTTGTATGGGGGACAGGCATTATTCCCACTGACTTTCAATGTAAGGAACATTCTTCCTGCTAACCAATAATGTAAAGTGTCCCTTCTCCAAATGATCATTAGTGTTCTGTCAATAAATACCAATGTAAGGTGGTTCCTCTCCCACTGACCACCAATCTAAGGTTAGTCCATCTCCACTGGTTATCAATATAAGTAGGCACTTCACTGACCACCAGTGTAAGGGCACAATTTTTCATGTACCACCAATGCGAGGAAATACAGTTTTCACTGCCTGATTTTCTGGACTTTTTTTTGTTTCATTCTCATTAATCATAAAGGATACACCTGGGAATTTGAATATGCTAACTATGGAACATTCTTTGCTATATTTCAATTTACTGTTCATGCCAAGAGTTGTATTTATAGTAAATATTAGCAAGAGTTTCCTGGGATCTGAAAACAATTTCAAGGTTTCCTCCATGTTACTAGGTTGAGAAAGTCTGGTTTAGGCCTCTACTTGTCAATGTATCTAACTTATAGAGGTTTTTGGTCACTTTTGGCCAGTGATTACATGTATTTAATCAGCACAGATATTGTGTAACTCATTTACTGTATGTCTGTAACTAAATATATTATTGGTTAAGTGTTAATAAACCCACATTTTAAAAATGAACATTACATTGCAATGCTTACAGTATATTACATTCTTTGAGAAAAGACTCAAGTTCATCTGCGTAGTCCAACCAATAGAATATTCTTGCTTGGTATATGTAACGTACAGTCATTCCAGTTCAGCACATATTTTTTATTGTTATCCTTACTAGCAGTGGCTCCTATTACTAGAGCTGTCTAAGGATCCCACACTGCATGTGCACTCCTCCCAGGGACTGAACTGATGTGTCCAGCCTACATACATGGGCAGCACAGAGAAACTTGATCTGAATGGGTTGTTCATTCCTCCCAACTGCTATAAGGTGCTTCAGCACATCAGACAGAGAGACCAGGAAAAATTCCCAACAATTCATTTCACAACCTCATTGCTGATGTGTGCAAGGGATGATAGAAGTAGTTCTGCTGGTCATTAGTGAACCCAGACCAGAAGCTAGGGCAAGGTTCATGAAGAACCTGAAACTGTGGCAGTGGTATTATTCAACTGTACCTTTTTACTGGTATTGTTAAACATAATAATGTCTAATCCAGTATTTAAAAAAGTATGGGATAGTACAAATCAATAGCATCAACAGCCCTCACCACAGAACAGTTTTTCTTTCTTTCCTATGTTGCTCTGTTTTGACTGTATCCCCATTCTAAGTCCTGATTAGGGCTAAGTAACGGTCCTCTTCAGGTTTGAAAGCTTAGAGTAGGTGGTTACATCTGGAGGGAGCGGGCCCCCCTCATCCTCTCCTCCTTTAGTTGTCAGCTGTGACCTCGCTTTCCTCACAGAAACACAAGCTGGAATGTGCCTACCTGCCCTGTGCCTCTGTTTCTAGGACTTCACGCTGTCAACAAGAAACAGAGGCACATAAAAGTACAGCACAGTAGCTAAATAGTTAGCATTTCCGCCTGGCAGTACTAGAGTTGCTGGCTGGAATCCCAACCACGGCACCACCTGCCTGGAGTTTTCATGTTCTCCCTGTGCCTGTGTGGGTTTCCTCCGGGTACTCCAGTTTCCTTCCACACTCCAAAGACATGGTAGGTTAATTGGATCCTGTCTAAATTGGCCGTAGTATGTGTATGTATGATGTGGCAGTGCGGTATCCTGCCACGGTCTAAATCAAGCTTATATCCCAGGATTCTCAACCATACAGGTTGAGGGGCTCCAGGCGGGTTACTTAATGCAGAGGAAACTGGTTTGTCAGTTTCCTCGTTGGTTCTTAAAGCCTGTTTTGGGACCTGGGGCCTAGAGATTTCTAAGTGATTTGGGAGGGATGAAATCTCCAATCCTGGGTCCATGTTTTCAGAACCCCCAGCACACTGATTGCACAGGTGTTTGCAGGCCTTTTTGTAGAGGCCTATCCATGGTTTTGGGCTCCACTCCGGCAGACAGGAGGTCATTGCCCTGGAGTCAGGAGAACTCCACCTAGGAGAGGTGGAAGCCAGAGCAGAAAGGGGCTGCTAGCTGTGTGCAAACAGCCATTCAGGAAGGAGTCTGTAGGAGACAGCTGTGAGTCTGAAGTGGAAGGCCAGAGCGGCAGAAATGTGTGTACAAGCCAGGAGGCTGAATATTTGTTTAATTTGTTTTAATGGTGGATACCCTTGTGTGGGAAACATGTTTTGGAACTTTCCTTTAAATAAAATTGGGCTAAAAAAAAGGAGTGGCTGTGTGCTGTAAAGCTCTACCCTTGGTGCTAGTGCCCACAATGAATATAAGTTAGGGACCTTAGATTGTACATCCCTTGAGGGTTAGGGACTGATGTGAATGTACAATATATATGTAAAGTGCTGCGTAAATTGACAGCGCTATATAAGTACCTGGAATAAATAATCAATAAATAAAAAAGTATGCCAAGGGATTTGCAACTCCAGGAGACTGTTCTGTACAAGAAAAGAATGAATAAATGTTCTTCAGCTGCTTCTCTGCTTCACTCTGCAGAGTGAGAACTCCTGAGAAAGTTCAGCAGTGCAGAACTTCTCCATGTCACTGACAGTGAGAGCTCAGCCTGGACAGGTGGGGGAAGGAAGGAGGAAGCAACTACATGTCTGTAAGTGTAACTCGGACTCAGAATGACTTTGATAGGTGGAGGGGTGGGGGTAGGAGGGTGCAAGAAGCTCAAGAACAGTATGGATGGGAGAGGTGAGTGAGCAGAAGCACTGCTGAAGTCTTGGGGGCATGCAGACTGTCAGGAACCAATGTTAGTCATAAGAAGGGGGTGGATACCGACTTTATTGTCGAGATGACGCTACATGAGAGACCACAGCCCCTCCCACAGGTATTTTCTTTATTTATTTATTTCAGGTGCTTATATAGCGCCATCAATTTACACAGTGCTTTACATATATATTGTATATTCACATCAGTCCCTAACCCTCAAGGGGCGTACAATCTAAAGTCCCTAACTTACATTCATACATATACAGTACATACTAGGGCCAATTTAGACAGGAGCCAATTAACCTACTAACATGTCTTTGGAGTTTCTTTGACTTCAGAAGAAACGTTGCACATTTCAGAAGGCAGAAAATCATTTTTCATGGTAGCAGCTTACCAAGATTCAGATAATGCAAAAAAAAAAAAAAATGAACCCGTACTTCTCTTTTAAGTGATCAATTAAGAATGTTTTTATTGTAAAAAAAACAATCTTTGGCTTTAAGACTGCTTTAGCACTTCTGCCTTGCAGCACTGGGGTCCTCAGTTAGAATCCTGGCCTTGCACTATCTTTATGGAGTTTGCACGTTCTCCTGTGCTTACATGGGTTTCCTCTGGGTACTCTGGTTTCCTCCCACATGCCAAAGACATGCTGGAAGTATAGCTGGCTAAAGTCTAAATTGCCTCAAGTATGTGTATATGTATGCATGTGAGGCTGTAGATTGCAAGCTCCTGGAGGGCAAAGACTGATGTGAATGTACAATATGAAAGGTGTTGCATTAATGATCAGTATTGTATAAATATTTGAAATTGATAAATTAAATCATTAGTGGAGCAGTTGTAAAATTATATTAACCTTTGTAGATGCAGTTTTATCGCATTCACCCTGCTATCTCTTCCCCTTGCTGCTATGCTGTTGCCATTGCTGTCTCTTTGTCTATCTAAATGTTAATATTAATTCCACTTGAACAATGCATAATCTGCCATATACCCCACATACCAGGAAATTGGGCAGTAAGTGAAGGAGCTTAGAAGGAGCCTACATAGCAATAGATCCTCACTTTAGGACAGTAGATGCGATCATATTTTTACATGCCCCATAGCTCTCCACCAAAACAAAAGCTTTTCACTGTGGATCTCCAGTAAAGTACTCATATGTATTTTTAAAGCAAATGATAAACTACGGGGAAATATGGTAGATTATCACTCACTGCCCTTTCTTCATGAAAGTTTATTTATGAACG